CACCGAAGATGAACATCCGTGGAGGGATGCAGGCAAAGCCGATGAGTCAGATGCCTTCTATGACCTCCTGTCACAGGTGCTGGCTAAAGTGGCCCCTCGGGATAGAGTCATCATGTTGGGTGACTTCAATGGCCGAGTTGGTCATGATACTGGCACCTGGTCTGGAGTGATTGGAGGGCATGGGCCAGATCAGCTCAATAACAACGGTAGGAGGCTGCTAGATTTTTGTGCAGCCCATGGGCTTGTAATTACCAACACGCTGTTCCAGGCATCGGCGCATCCACACAACATCATGGATGCATGCCGGGTCCAAGCAAGAACATCTGCTGGACTACATAGTGACGGACCAGCGAATGCGAGCCCATGTCCTTGACACCAGGACCTACCGTGGAGCTGATCTGCCCTCTGACCATCGACTAGTCATCTGTAAGATGCGCCTGCCATTCTTCCACTCCGGTGGTGGGTGTACACCCAGGACCCCATTCCAACCTAAAGTGGCCTGGTCTCAGTTATCTGATGAAAGTTGCAAGTGAGAATTTCATCATCGCTTGCGGCTGGGATTGGCATCGTCCCCGACTCCTCCTGATGTCGAGGGTAAATGGGCGAGGTTTAGGACTGTGACTCATGCAGCTGCAATGGCTGCTTTGGGTACGCGGTCCAGACCTCCCCAGACACCCTGGATGACAGAGGAGTTGTTCAGGATGGTTGAGAAAAAGCGACAGGCCCACTGTCATCGGCTACAGAATCCCACGTCAGAGAATGAGGAGGCTTACCGCAGCCTTCGCTCGGAGGTTCGGAGAGCTGTGAGGCGCTGCAAGGATGGGTGGTGGTCGCGGGTTGCTGAGGAGATGGAGTCTGCCTCAGTGGCCCGTGATCACAAATCTCTATTTAACTCCATCAAAAAAGTAACCTGCAGCGCCACACCTATTACCATCATTAGGGGAAAAAACGGTGATCCAATTTCCGACCCCCAGGAACAGGTTCGCAGATTTGCTGAGCATTTCTGTGAGGTCCTGGGGGAGGGAAAATCCCTCAGCCAGGAAAACATCGTGGCACAAAGTGAGGATGACCCTGCTGAGGCTGCGGTGCCTCAAATATTGGATGAAGTCACCCCCTGTGAGTGGCTGGCTGAGGTGCCATCTGCTGAGGAAGTATTGAAGGCGATCCGGAGTCTGAGACCAGGAAAGGCAGCGGGCAGAGATGATCTCCCAAGCGAAATGCTGAGGGAGGGTGGCGTTTGTGCACAGACTGCCCTATATGACATCATAACAACAGTCTGGACCACTGGACGGGTTCCGCAGGATTGGAAGGATGCCCTGGTGGTCCCCCTTTTTAAGAAGGGGGACCGCACAGACTGTAACAACTACAGGGGCATCTCACTCCTCAGTGTGCCGGGAAAGGTCCTGGCAAGGATTATTCAGCATCGCCTTGCCAGGCACGCTGAGAAGAAGCTTGCGGAGCCCCAATGCGGTTTCAGGAAAGGGCGGTCCTGCACAGATGCCATATTTTCTGTCCGTCTGCTACAGCAGAGATGTAGGGAATTCCAACAAGACCTACATCTCTGCTTTATTGACCTGGTCAAGGCCTATGATACCATCAGTAGGCCTGGGCTCTGGGTCGTTCTTCGTGCTTTTGGAGTACCTGACCCTCTGCTCACGATCATTAAGGACCTTCATGATGGTGAGCGGGCCCGGGTAAAACTACGTGGCCGGGAGTCAGAGCCATTCCTTGTACACCTTGGGGTGCGACAGGGATATCCTCTGGCTCCCACATTATTTAACATCTATTTTGACCACGTAGTTCGTGAAGCCTTCAATAGCTGTACTGGGGGAATCTCCATATGGTACAGATATAATGGGAGGCTAATCGATGCCCGGGTGCGGTCAAGGGATGGCTCCCTATTGCTCAACCACGTTATGTATGCTGATGACTTGGTAATAGCTGCTCAGTCAGAGGAGGAGTTGGAGACGCTGCTGCTGAGACTGGAGCGTGCCACTAAGAGGTGGGGCCTTACCATCAGCCCCACCAAAACTAAGCACCTGCCTGGGTATTTTGTACCATCGGACACTCCACCCCCACAACTCCCAATCGGTGATGGGGCAGTTGTGGAGAGAGTGGAGAGTTTCCCATACCTGGGCAGTGTGCTTATGGCTGGCTCCAGTTTAACAGCAGAGGTCTCACTCCGAATCAGTCGAGCGGCAATATCTTTTCATCGGTTGCGTAACGCTGTGTGGAAGCTACCTGGTCTGTCGCTCCGCACTAAGCTTCAGGTCTTCTGGGCCACGGTCATTCCCTCCCTTCTCTACGCTTGCGAAACGTGGACCCCCCTAATGGAACATCTTCGTCGGTTAGAAACATTTAGGCTGACCTGCCTACGATCCATCCTGGGTTTAACCAGACTGGATTGTGTGAGGAGCTCACAAATCCTTGAAAGATCTGGGCAGGGTCCCATCGGTGAGCTCCTCCGGCAGGCAAGGCTGCGATGGCTGGGTCATGTAGCCCGCATGCCCATCCACCGCATGCCGAAACAGCTTTTGTTTGGCCGGATTGAGGGGGCTAAGCGGGCGCGGCACGGGCTAGAGAAGAGATGGAGTGATGTGGTACAGGAGGACGTGGAGCTGAGTGGACTTGCCGATGACTGGTACCAGCGGTGTCAAGATCGGCCTCTGTGGAAGAGGCTCGTGAAGGATGCTACTGGGCAGTTGGAGGCAGTCGCCCTCCAACAACAACGGAGGGCGGAGGAGCGACGCTCACAACAGCGAGCGGAGCGCCGGGTGGCTAAAGCACAGCAGGTTGGCACAGTAGGGGGCACAGGTGGTGCATCAGCCAGTCATCTCAGTCAGTCGACCCGTGGCACCTGGGTCTGCCCCGTGACCTCCTGCCAGCGGGCGTTCGACACTTCACGTGGCCTCAGGGTGCACATAGCCTGGCACAAGCGTCGTGGTGACGTCACCGCCACTTAGTGGCGAATGGCGGTTGTTGTTGTTGTTGTGTGTACCCTGTGTGTGTGAGTGTGTGTGTGTGTGTACTCTGTGTGTGTGTACCCTGTGTGTGTGAGTGTGTGTGTGTTTCCTGTGTGTGTGTGTACCCTGTGTTGTGTGAGTGTACCCTGTGTGTGTACCCTGTGTGTGTGAGTGTGTGTGTGTACCCTGTGAGTGTGTGTGTGAGTGTACCCTGTGTGTGTGTGTACTCTCTGTGTGTGAGTGTGTGTGTGTGTACTCTCTGTGTGTGTGTGTGTACTCTCTCTGTGTGTGAGTGTGTGTGTACTCTCTGTGTGTGTGTACTCTCTGTGTGTGTGTGTGTACTCTGTGTGTGTGAGTGTGTGTGTACTCTCTGTGTGTGAGTGTGTGTGTGTGTACTCTCTGTGTGTGTGTGAGTGTGTGTGTGTGTACTCTCTGTCTGTGTGTACTCTCTGTGTGTGAGTGTGTGTGTGTGTACTCTCTCTGTGTGTGAGTGGGTGTGTACTCTCTCTGTGTGTGTGAGTGTGTGTGTGTACTCTCTGTGTGTGAGTGTGTGTGAGTGTGTGTGTGTACTCTCTGTGTGTACTCTCTCTGTGTGTGTGAGTGTGTGTGTGTACTCTCTGTGTGTACTCTCTGTGTGTGTGAGTGTGTGTGTGTACTCTCTGTGTGTACTCTCTGTGTGTGTGAGTGTGTGTGTGTACTCTCTGTGTGTACTCTCTGTGTGTGTACTCTCTGTGTGTGAGTGTGTGTGAGTGTGTGTGTGTACTCTCTGTGTGTACTCTCTCTGTGTGTGTGAGTGTGTGTGTGTACTCTCTGTGTGTACTCTCTGTGTGTGTGAGTGTGTGTGTGTACTCTCTGTGTGTACTCTCTGTGTGTGTGTACTCTCTGTGTGTGTGTACTCTCTGTGTGTACTCTCTGTGTGTGTGAGTGTGTGTGTGTGTACTCTGTGTGTACTCTCTGTGTGTGTGTACTCTCTGTGTGTACTCTCTGTCTGTGTGTGTGTGTGAGTGTGTGTGTGTACTCTGTGTGTACTCTCTGTGTGAGTGTACTCTCTGTGTGTACTCTCTCTGTCTGTGTGTGAGTGTGTGTGAGTGTGTGTGAGTGTGTGTGAGTGTGTGTGTGTGTACTCTCTGTGTGTGTGAGTGTGTGTGAGTGTGTGTGAGTGTGAGTGTGTGTGTACTCTGTGTGTGTACTCTGTGTGTGTGTGTGTGAGTGTGTCTGTGTGTACTCTCTGTGTGTACTCTGTGTGTACTCTCTGTGTGTGTGAGTGTGTGTGAGTGTGTGTGAGTGTGTGTGTACTCTGTGTGTGTACTCTCTGTGTGTACTCTCTGTGTGTACTCTCTGTGTGTACTCTCTGTGTGTACTCTCTGTGTGTACTCTGTGTGTGTGTGTACTCTCTGTGTGTACTCTGTGTGTACTCTCTGTCTGTGTGTACTCTCTGTGTGTACTCTGTGTGTACTCTGTGTGTGTGTGTACTCTTTGTGTGTACTCTGTGTGTACTCTCTGTCTGTGTGTACTCTCTGTGTGTACTCTGTGTGTGTGTACTCTCTCTCTCTGTGTGTACTCTCTGTCTGTGTGTACTCTCTCTGTGTGTGTACTCTCTGTGTGTACTCTCTGTCTGTGTGAGTGTGTGTGTGTGTACTCTCTGTGTGTACTCTGTGTGTACTCTCTCTCTGTGTGTGTACTCTGTGTGTGTGTGTACTCTGTGTGTACTCTCTGTCTGTGTGTACTCTCTCTGTGTGTACTCTGTGTGTACTCTCTGTGTACTCTCTGTCTGTGTGTACTCTGTGTGTACTCTCTGTCTGTGTGTACTCTCTGTGTGTACTCTGTGTGTACTCTGTGTGTACTCTGTGTGTGTGTGTGTACTCTCTCTGTGTGTACTCTCTGTCTGTGTGTACTCTCTCTGTGTGTGTACTCTCTGTGTGTGCTCTCTGTCTGTGTGAGTGTGTGTGTGTGTACTCTCTGTGTGTACTCTGTCTGTGTGCGTGCACCGCCACCACCACCACCACCACCCACCCGCACGCCAGCGCCACGTACATCTTACTTGCGCGGGTGCAGGCCCAGGTTGCCCCCCAGGTTGCCCCCCAGGGCCCCCCCCAGGGCCCCCCCCAGGGCCCCCCCCAGGGGCCCCCCCAGGGGCCCCCCCAGGTTGCCGCCCCCCACGCTGGAGGCGTCGTGCAGCGCTGCGCTGATCTCGGTGAGGATCCGTGGCAGGGAGCCCAGGCCGGCCAGGGCCGACTGCAGGAACACCGCCTCACCCTGGGGGGCACGGGGGGGGGAGGGGGGGAGGAGGGGGGAGGGGGGGGGGGGCACGGGGGGAGGAGGGGGGGGGGCACGGGGGGAGGAGGGCATGGGGGGGGGCATGGGGGGGCAAACGGGAGAGCTTCTGTCTCTCTCTCTCTCCCCGTGTCTCTCTCCTCGTGTCTCTCTCCTCGTGTCTCTCTCTACCCGTGTCTCTCTCTCTCTCCCCGTGTCTCTCTCCCCGTGTCTCTCTCCTCGTGTCTCTCTCCTCGTGTCTCTCTCTACCCGTGTCTCTCTCTCTCTCCTCGTGTCTCTCTCTCTCTACCCGTGTCTCTCTCCTCGTGTCTCTCTCCTCGTGTCTCTCTCTCTCTACCCGTGTCTCTCTCCTCGTGTCTCTCTCCTCGTGTCTCTCTCTCTCTACCCGTGTCTCTCTCTCTCTACCCGTGTCTCTCTCTCTCTACCCGTGTCTCTCTCCTCGTGTCTCTCTCCTCGTGTCTCTCTCCTCGTGTCTCTCTCCTCGTGTCTCTCTCACTCTCCTCGTGTCTCTCTCTCTCTACCCGTGTCTCTCTCCTCGTGTCTCTCTCTACCCGTGTCTCTCTCACTCTCCTCATGTCTCTCTCTCTCTACCCGTGTCTCTCTCCTCGTGTCTCTCTCCTCGTGTCTCTCTCCTCGTGTCTCTCTCTCTCTCTCCTCGTGTCTCTCTCACTCTCCTCGTGTCTCTCTCACTCTCCTCGTGTCTCTCTCTACCCGTGTCTCTCTCTCTCCTCGTGTCTCTCTCTCTCCCCGTGTCACTCTCTCTCCTCGTGTCTCTCTCTCTACCCGTGTCTCTCTCTCTACCCGTGTCTCTCTCTCTCCTCGTGTCTCTCTCTCTCCCCGTGTCACTCTCTCTCCTCGTGTCTCTCTCTCTACCCGTGTCTCTCTCACTCTCCTCGTGTCTCTCTCCCCGTGTCTCTCTCTCTCCCCGTGTCTCTCTCTCTCCCCGTGTCTCTCTCTCTCCCCGTGTCACTCTCTCTCTCCTCGTGTCTCTCACTCTCCTTGTGTCTCTCTCTCCCCGTGTCTCTCTCTCTCCTCGTGTCTCTCTCTCTCCCCGTGTCACTCTCTCTCTCCTCGTGTCTCTCACTCTCCTTGTGTCTCTCTCTCCCCGTGTCTCTCTCTCCTCGTGTCTCTCTCTCTCCCCGTGTCACTCTCTCTCTCCTCGTGTCTCTCATTCTCCTTGTGTCTCTCTCTCCCCGTGTCTCTCTCTCTCCTCGTGTCTCTCTCTCTCCCCGTGTCACTCTCTCTCTCCTCGTGTCTCTCATTCTCCTTGTGTCTCTCTCTCCCCGTGTCTCTCTCTCTCCCCGTGTCACTCTCTCTCTCCCCGTGTCTCTCTCTCTACCCGTGTCTCTCTCTCTCCCCGTGTCTCTCTCTCTACCCGTGTCTCTCTCTCTCCCCGTGTCTCTCTCCCCGTGTCTCTCTCTCTCTCCCCGTGTCTCTCTCTCTCTCTATCCCCGTGTCTCTCTCTCTCCCCGTGTCTCTCTCTCTCCCCGTGTCTCTCTCTCTCTCTATCCCCGTGTCTCTCTCTCTCCCCGTGTCTCTCTCTCTCCCCGTGTCTCTCTCTCTCCTCGTGTCTCTCTCTACCCGTGTCTCTCTCTCTCCCCATGTCTCTCTCTCTACCCGTGTCTCTCTCTCTCTCTATCCCCGTGTCTCTCTCTCTCTACCCGTGTCTCTCTCACTCTCCTCGTGTCTCTCCCCTCGTCTCTCTCTCTCCCCGTGTCTCTCTCTCCCCGTGTCTCTCTCTCCCCGTGTGTCTCTCTCTCTCCCCGTGTCTCTCTCTCTCCCCGTGTCTCTCTCACTCTCCTCGTGTCTCTCTCACTCTCCTCGTGTCTCTCTCTCTCCCCGTGTCTCTCTCACTCTCCTCGTGTCTCTCTCTCTACCCGTGTCTCTCTCTCTCCTCATGTCTCTCTCTCTCCCCGTGTCACTCTCTCTCTCCCCGTGTCTCTCTCTCTACCCGTGTCTCTCTCTCTACCCGTGTCTCTCTCTCTACCCGTGTCTCTCTCTCTCCCCGTGTCACTCTCTCTCTCCCCGTGTCTCTCTCTCTCTCCCCGTGTCTCTCTCTCTCCCCGTGTCTCTCTCTCTCTCTATCCCCGTGTCTCTCTCTCTCCCCGTGTCTCTCTCTCTCCTCGTGTCTCTCTCTACCCGTGTCTCTCTTTGTCCCCGTGTCTCTCTCTCTACCCGTGTCTCTCTCTCTCTCTATCCCCGTGTCTCTCTCTCTCTACCCGTGTCTCTCTCCATGTCTCTCTCTCCCCGTGTCTCTCTCTCTCTCTCTCCCCATGTCTCTCTCTCCCCGTGTCTCTCTCTCTCCCCGTGTCTCTCTCTCTCTCTCTCCCCGTGTCTTCTCTCTCTCCCCGTGTCTCTCTCTCTCCCCGTGTCTCTCTCTCTCCCCGTGTCTCTCTCTCTCTCCCCGTGTCTCTCTCTCTCCCCGTGTCTCTCTCTCTCTCCCCGTATCTCTCTCTCTCCCCGTGTCTCTCTCTCTCTCCCCGTGTCTCTCTCTCTCTCTCCCCGTGTCTCTCTCTCTCTCCCCGTGTCTCTCTCTCTCTCCCCGTGTCTCTCTCTCTCCCCGTGTCACTCTCTCTCTCCCCGTGTCTCTCTCTCTCTCCCCGTGTCTCTCTCTCCCCGTGTCTCTCTCTCTCCCCGTGTCTCTCTCTCTCTCCCCATGTCTCTCTCTCCCCGTGTCTCTCTCTCTCCCCGTGTCTCTCTCTCTCTCTCTCTCCCCGTGTCTTCTCTCTATCCCCGTGTCTCTCTCTCTCCCCGTGTCTCTCTCTCTCCTCGTGTCTCTCTCTACCCGTGTCTCTCTCTCTCCCCGTGTCTCTCTCTCTACCCGTGTCTCTCTCTCTCTCTATCCCCGTGTCTCTCTCTCTCTACCCGTGTCTCTCTCCGTGTCTCTCTCTCCCCGTGTCTCTCTCTCTCTCTCTCCCCATGTCTCTCTCTCCCCGTGTCTCTCTCTCTCCCCGTGTCTCTCTCTCTCTCTCTCTCCCCGTGTCTTCTCTCTCTCCCCGTGTCTCTCTCTCTCTCCCCGTGTCTCTCTCTCTCCCCGTGTCTCTCTCTCTCCCCGTGTCTCTCTCTCTCTCTCTCTCCCCGTGTCTCTCTCTCTCTCTCCCCGTGTCTCTCTCTCTCTCCCCGTGTCTCACCTTCTCTGCTGGCAGGGCTTCACACAGCAGGGAGTGCAGCAGGCACAGCTCACGGCCCAGGTCCACGTAGCCGTCATATCCCGGTGCCGCCGCAGGCGTGGTCGGTGAGCCCGAGATCTCGAGCAGGAAGCGACGCATCCGGCCCCACTCCTGCTCCAGGAATCCGTTCATGAACCACATGTAGAACTCCTTGTGTCCGAACCTACATAGACACAACAACAACAACAACACAAAACAACCGCCATTCGCCACTAAGTGGCGGTGACGTCACCACGACGCTTGGTGCCAGGCCACACAGACACACAGACACTCACACTCACACACAGACACTCACCAGACACTCACACACAGACTCCCACACAGGCACAGATACACACACACACAGACACTCCCACAGACACTCACACACAGACACACATACAACAACAACCGCCATTCGCCACTAAGTGGCGGTGACGTCACCACGACGCTTGTGCCAGGCTATGTGCACCCTGAGGCCACGTGAAGTGTCGAACGCCCGCTGGCAGGAGGTCACGGGGCAGACCCAGCAGGTGCCACGGGTCGACTGACTGAGATGACTGGCTGGTGCACCACCTGTGCCCCCTACTGTGCCAACCTGCTGTGCTTTAGCCACCCGGCGCTCCGCTCGTTGTTGTAAGCGTCGCTCCTCCGCCCTCCGTTGTTGTTGGAGGGCGACTGCCTCCAACTGCCCAGTAGCATCCTTCACGAGCCTCCTCCACAGAGGCCGATCTTGACACCGCTGGTACCGGTCATCGGCAAGTCCACTCAGTTCCACGTCCTCCTGTACCACGTCACTCCGTCTCTTCTCTAGCCCGTGCCGCGCCCGTTTAGCCCCCTCGATCCGGCCGAACAAAAGCTGTTTAGGCATGCGGTGGCTGGGCATGCGGGCTACATGGCCCAGCCAACGCAGCCTTGCCTGCCGGAGGAGCTCACCGATGGGACCTTGCCAAGATCTTTCAAGGATTTGTGAGCTCCTCGCACAATCCAGCCTGGTTAAAACCAGGATGGATCGTAGGCAGGCCAGCCTAAATGTTTCCAATCGGCGAAGATGTTCCATTAGGGGGGTCCACGTTTCGCAAGCGGAGAGAAGGGAGGGAATGACCATGGCCGGGAAGACTTGAAGCTTCATGTGGAGCAACAGACCAGGTAGCTTCCACACAGCGTTACGCAACCGATGAAAAGATATTGCCGCTCGACTGATTCTGAGTGAGACCTCTGCTGTTAAACTGGAGCCGGTCATGAGCACACTGCCCAGGTATGGAAACTCTCCACTCTCTCCACCACTGCCCTATCACCGATTGGGAGTTGTGGGGGTGGAGCGTCCGATGGTACAAAATACCCAGGCAGGTGCTTAGTTTTGGTGGGGCTGATGGTAAGGCCCCACCTCTTAGTGGCACGCTCCAGTCTCAGCAGCAGCGTCTCCAACTCCTCCTCTGACTGAGCAGCTATTACCAAATCATCAGCATACATAACGTGGTTGAGCAATAGGGAGCCATCCCTTGACCGCACCCGGGCATCGATCAGCCTCCCAGTATATCTGTACCATATGGAGATTCCCCCGGTACAGCTATTGAAGGCTTCACGAACTACGTGGTCAAAATAGATGTTAAATAATGTGGGAGCCAGAGGACATCCCTGTCGCACCCCAAGGTGTACAGGGAATGGCTCTGACCCCCGGCCACGTAGTTTTACCCGGGCCCGCTCACCATCATGAAGGTCCTTAATGATCGTGAGCAGAGGGTCAGGTACTCCAAAAGCACGAAGAACGACCCAGAGCCCAGGCCTACTGATGGTATCATAGGCCTTGACCAGGTCAATAAAGCAGAGATGTAGGTCTTGCTGGAATTCCCTACACCTCTGCTGTAGCAGACGGACAGAAAATATGGCATCTGTGCAGGACCGCCCTTTCCTGAAACCGCATTGGGGCTCCGCAAGCCTCTCCTCAGCGTGCCTGGCAAGGCGATGCTGAATAATCCTTGTCAGGATCTTTCCCGGCACACTGAGGAGTGAGATGCCCCTGTAGATGTTACAGTCTGTGCGGTCCCCCTTCTTAAAGAGGGGGACCACCAGGGCATCCTTCCAATCCTGCGGAACCCGTCCAGTGGTCCAGACTGTTGTTATGATGTCATATAGGGCAGTCTGTGCACAAACGCCACCCTCCCTCAGCATTTCGCTTGGGAGATCATCTCTGCCCGCTGCCTTTCCTAGTCTTAGACTCTGGATCGCCTTCAGTGCTTCCTCAACAGACGGCACAAGTAACCACGACCACCATTCCTCGCCTCCGGTTGATGGGAAGGCGAGCCCAAAGTAGCCTGGGGCTTACAGCTTCCCACACCTCACCGCCACGCTCCCACGCCCCCTTCATTCTTTTGTTCAGAAGAAGAGCCACTCCCTGTTGTTTGGCAGTCTGCTGCCCCGGGTAGAGGACTGTCCACCCCTCATGGTGGCAGGAACCAGAGCCGGTCCACCGGACCTCCTGAATGCCACAGAGATCCAGGCGGTACCGGTCCAGCTCCCGACAGAGGAGCGGCAGCCTCTCCTCCGCAGTGAGCGTTCGAACATTCCACGTGGCCACACGAAGCGGCTTTTCGTTGTTTCTGGAGGAGCCCCGAGGGTAAAGATTCAATCTCCTATGACGACGGTGGCCATGACGACGGTGGCCGTGACGACGGTGGCCATGACAACGGTGGTGACGGTGGCCGTGACGACGGTGGACATGACAACGGTGGTGACGGTGGCCGTGACGACGGTGGCCATGACAACGGTGGCCGTGACGACGGTGGCCATGACAACGGTGGTGACGGTGGCCGTGACGACGGTGGCCATGACGACGGTGGCCGTGACGACGGTGGCCGTGACGACGGTGGCCGTGACGACGGTGGCCGTGACGACGGTGGCCGTGACGACGGTGGCCGTGACGATGGTGGCCATGACAACGGTGGTGACGGTGGCCGTGACGACGGTGACCGTGACGACGGTGGCCGTGACGACGGTGGCCGTGACGACGTCTCACTTGTTGAAGGAGGCGAGGTTGCGTATGACGCGGGCTATGAGGTGCAGCGTGCGTGCCGCTCGCTGCTCGGGCTGCTCCCGCGTGAGGCCGTAGAGAGTCGGGGCGGCGATCGCCGGGCACACAAAGCGGAGGAAGAACGCAGAGCCAACGAGGCGATCAGCCACCTACGCGGGGAGAGAGTTACAGTGGGAGAGAGTTACAGTGAGAGAGAGTTACAGTGAGAGAGAGTTACAGTGAGAGAGTTACAGTGAGAGTTACAGTGGGAGTTACAGTGAGAGAGTTACAGTGAGAGAGTTACAGTGAGAGAGTTACAGTGGGAGAGTTACAGTGAGAGTTACAGTGAGAGAGAGAGTTATAGTGAGAGAGGGTTACAGTGAGAGAGGTACAGTGAGAGATAGTTACAGTGAGAGAGTTACAGTGAGAGGTACAGTGAGAGTTACAGTGAGAGTTACAGTGAGAGGTACAGTGGGAGAGAGTTACAGTGGGAGAGAGTTACAGTGAGAGTTACAGTGAGAGAGGTACAGTGAGAGTTACAGTGAGAGAGTTACAGTGAGAGGTACAGTGAGAGTTACAGTGAGAGTTACAGTGAGAGGTACAGTGGGAGAGAGTTACAGTGGGAGAGAGTTACAGTGAGAGTTACAGTGAGAGAGGTACAGTGAGAGTTACAGTGAGAGAGTTACAGTGAGAGAGTTACAGTGGGAGAGAGTTACAGTGAGAGAGAGTTACAGTGAGAGTTACAGTGAGAGTTACAGTGGGAGAGAGCTACAGTGAGAGAGTTACAGTGAAAGTTACAGTGAGAGTTACAGTGAGAGTTACAGTGAGAGTTACAGTGAGAGAGAGTTACAGTGAGTGTTACAGTGAGAGTTACAGTGAAAGAGAGTTACAGTGAGAGTTACAATGAGAGAGAGTTACAGTGAGAGAGTTACAGTGAGAGTTACAGAGAGAGTTACAGTGAGAGTTACAGTGAGAGTTACAGTGAAAGAGAGTTACAGTGAGAGAGTTACAGTGAGAGTTACAGAGAGAGTTACAGTGAGAGTTACAGTGAGAGAGTTACAGTGAGAGAGAGTTACAGTGAGAGAGTTACAGTGAGAGAGTTACAGTGAGAGAGTTACAGTGAGAGTTACAGTGAGAGAGTTACAGTGAGAGAGAGTTACAGTGAGAGAGTTACAGTGAGAGAGTTACAGTGAGAGAGTTACAGTGAGAGTTACATTGAAAGAGAGTTACAGTGGGAGAGAGTTACAGTGAGAGTTACAGTGAGAGAGTTACAGTGAGAGAGTTACAGTGGGAGAGAGTTACAGTGAGAGTTACAGTGAGAGTTACAGTGAGAGAGTTACAGTGAGAGTTACAGAGAGAGTTACAGTGAGAGTTACAGTGAGAGAGTTACAGTGAGAGTTACAGTGAGAGAGTTACAGTGAGAGAGAGTTACAGTGAGAGAGTTACAGTGAGAGAGTTACAGTGAGAGTTACAGTGAGAGGTACAGTGAGAGTTACAGTGAGAGAGTTACAGTGAGAGAGTTACAGTGAGAGTTACATTGAAAGAGAGTTACAGTGGGAGAGAGTTACAGTGAGAGTTACAGTGAGAGAGTTACAGTGAGAGAGTTACAGTGGGAGAGAGTTACAGTGAGATTTACAGTGAGAGTTACAGTGAGAGAGTTACAGTGAGAGTTACAGAGAGAGTTACAGTGAGAGTTACAGTGAGAGAGTTACAGTGAGAGTTACAGTGAGAGAGTTACAGTGAGAGAGAGTTACAGTGAGAGAGTTACAGTGAGAGAGTTACAGTGAGAGTTACAGTGAGAGGTACAGTGAGAGTTACAGTGAGAGAGTTACAGTGAGAGAGTTACAGTGAGAGAGTTACAGTGAGAGAGTTACAGTGGGAGAGAGTTACAGTGAGAGAGAGAGTTACAGTGAGAGAGTTACAGTGAGAGAGTTACAGTGAGAGAGTTACAGTGAGAGAGTTACAGTGAGAGAGAGTTACAGTGAGAGTTACAGTGAGAGAGAGTTACAGTGAGAGAGAGTTACAGTGAGAGTTACAGTGAGAGAGTTACAGTGAGAGAGTTACAGTGAGAGAGTTACAGTGAGAGAGAGTTACAGTGAGAGTTACAGTGAGAGAGAGTTACAGTGAGAGAGAGTTACAGTGAGAGAGAGTTACAGTGAGAGTTACAGTGAGAGAGTTACAGTGAGAGAGTTACAGTGAGAGAGTTACAGTGAGAGAGAGTTACAGTGAGAGTTACAGTGAGAGAGAGTTACAGTGAGAGAGAGTTACAGTGAGAGAGAGTTACAGTGAGAGTTACAGTGAGAGAGAGTTACAGGGAGAGAGAGTTACAGTGAGAGAGAGTTACCATAGCGATGGGTGGCACGGCTGTTGTGGTGAGGCTGTAGCCGTAGTGATGAGTGACACGGCTGTTGTGGTGAGACTGTAGTAGTAGCGATGAGTGACACGGCTGTTGTGGTGAGGCTGTAGCCGTAGTGACGAGTGACACGGCTGTTGTGGTGAGGCTGTAGCCATAGTGATGAGTGACACGGCTGTTGTGGTGAGGCTGTAGCCATAGTGATGAGTGACACGGCTGTTGTGGTGAGGCTGTAGCCGTAGCGATGAGTGGCACGGCTGTTGTGGTGAGGCTGTAGCGATGAGTGACACGGCTGTTGTGGTGAGGCTGTAGCTGTAGTGATGAGTGACACGGCTGTTGTGAGGCTGTAGTGATGAGTGACACGGCTGTTGTGGTGAGGCTGTAGCTGTAGTGATGAGTGACACGGCTGTTGTGGTGAGGCTGTAGTGATGAGTGACACGGCTGTTGTGGTGAGGCCGTAGCCGTAGCGATGAGTGACACGGCTGTTGTGGTGAGGCTGTAGCGATGAGTGACACGGCTGTTGTGGTGAGGCTGTAGCCGTAGTGATGAGTGGCACTGCTGTTGTGGTGAGGCTGTAGCCGTAGCGATGAGTGACACGGCTGTTGTGGTGAGGCTGTAGCCGTAGCGATGAGTGGCACTGCTGTTGTGGTGAGGCTGTAGCCGTAACGATGAGTGGCACGGCTGTTGTGGTGAGGCTGTAGCTGTAGTGATGAGTGGCACGGCTGTTGTGGTGAGGCTGTAGTGATGAGTGACACGGCTGTTGTGGTGAGGCTGTAGCGATGAGTGGCACGGCTGTTGTGGTGAGGCTGTAGCCGTAGTGATGAGTGACACGGCTGTTGTGGTGAGGCTGTAGCGATGAGTGGCACGGCTGCTGTGGTGAGGCTGTAGTGATGAGTGGCACGGCTGTTGTGGTGAGGCTGTAGCCGTAGTGATGAGTGACACGGCTGTTGTGGTGAGGCTGTAGCTGTAGTGATGAGTGGCACGGCTGTTGTGGTGAGGCTGTAGTGATGAGTGGCACTGCTGTTGTGGTGAGGCTGTAGCCGTAGCGATGAGTGACACGGCTGTTGTGGTGAGGCTGTAGCTGTAGTGATGAGTGGCACGGCTGTTGTGGTGAGGCTGTAGTGATGAGTGGCACGGCTGTTGTGGTGAGGCTGTAGTGATGAGTGGCACGGCTGTTGTGGTGAGGCTGTAGCCGTAGTGATGAGTGACACGGCTGTTGTGGTGAGGCTGTAGCGATGAGTGACACGGCTGTTGTGGTGAGGCTGTAGCTGTAGTGATGAGTGGCACGGCTGTTGTGGTGAGGCTGTAGTGATGAGTGGCACGGCTGTTGTGGTGAGGCTGTAGCTGTAGTGATGAGTGGCACGGCTGTTGTGGTGAGGCTGTAGTGATGAGTGACACTGCTGTTGTGGTGAGGCTGTAGCCGTAGTGAGTGACACGGCTGTTGTGGTGAGGCTGTAGCGATGAGTGACACGGCTGTTGTGGTGAGGCTGTAGCGATGAGTGACACGGCTGTTGTGGTGAGGCTGTAGCAGTAGTGATGAGTGACACGGCTGTTGTGGTGAGGCTGTAGCGATGAGTGACACGGCTGTTGTGGTGAGGCTGTAGCTGTAGTGATGAGTGACACGGCTGTTGTGGTGAGGCTGTAGTGATGAGTGGCACTGCTGTTGTGGTGAGGCTGTAGCGATGAGTGACACGGCTGTTGTGGTGAGGCTGTAGTGATGAGTGACACGGCTGTTGTGGTGAGGCTGTAGTGATGAGTGGCACTGCTGTTGTGGTGAGGCTGTAGCGATGAGTGACACGGCTGTTGTGGTGAGGCTGTAGTGATGAGTGGCACGGCTGTTGTGGTGAGGCTGTAGTGATGAGTGGCACGGCTGTTGTGGTGAGGCTGTAGCTGTAGTGATGAGTGGCACTGCGGTTTTGTCTGCGTACCTCTGACCAGCCGCGGTTCTCACAAACTCGCCGCCACGACCCGAACACCGCACGCAGCTCCGCCGGGAACATGCTGCAGTCGGGGGGCACGGGGGGGGTGGGGGGCACGGGGGGAGGGAGAAGGGGGGGCACGGGGGTGGGGGGCACGGGGGTTGTGAGGGAGTGATTCTGTGTGTGCGAGTCTGTGTGTGTGTGAGTCTGTGTGTGTGTGTGAGTCTGTCAGTGAGTCTGTGTGTGTGAGTCTGTGTGTGTGTGTGAGTCTGTGTGTGTGCGAGTCTGTGTGTGTGTGAGTCTGTGTGTGTGTGTGTCTGTGTGTGTGAGTCTGTGTGTGTGTGAGTCTGTGTGTGTCTGTGAGTGAGTCTGTGTGTGTGAGTCTGTGTGTGTGCGAGTCTGTGTGTGTGTGTGTGAGTTTGTGTGTATGAGTCTGTGTGTGTGTGTGAGTCTGTGAGTGAGTCTGAGTGTGTGAGTCTGTCAGTGAGTCTGTGTGTGTGTGAGTCTGTGTGTGTGTGTGTGCGAATCTGTGTGTGAGTGCAGCCCATGGGCTTGTAATTACCAACACGCTGTTCCGGCATCGGCGCATCCACACAATATCATGGATGCATGCCGGGTCCAAGCAAGAACATCTGCTGGACTACATAGTGACGGACCTGCGGATGCGAGCCCATGTCCTTGACACCAGGACCTACCGTGGAGCTGATCTGCCCTCTGACCATCGACTAGTCATCTGTAAGATGCGCCTGCCATTCTTCCACTCCGGTGGTGGGTGTACACCCAGGACCCCATTCAAACCGAAAGTGGCCTGGTCTCAGCTAGCTGATGAAAGTTGCAAGCGAGAATTTCATCATCACTTGCGGCTGGGGTTGGCATCGTCCCCGACTCCTCCTGATGTTGAGGGTAAATGGGCGAGGTTTAGGACTGTGACTCATGCAGCTGCAATGGCTGCTTTGGGTACACGGTCCAGACCTCCCCAGAGACTCTGGCTGACAGAGGAGTTGTTCAGGATGGTTGAGAAAAAGCGACAGGCCCACTGTCATCGGCTACAGAATCCCACGTCAGAGAATGAGGCTTACCGCAGCCTTCGCTCGGAGGTTCGGAGAGCCGTGAGGCGCTGCAAGGATGGGTGGTGGTCGTGGGTTGCTGAGGAGATGGAGTCTGTCTCAGTTGCCCGCGATCACAAATCTCTATTTAACTCCATCAAAAAAGTAACCTGCAGTGCCACACCTATTACCATCATTGGTGGGAAAAACAGTGATCCAATCTCCGACCCCCAGGAACAGGTTTGCAGATTTGCTGAGCATTTCTGTGAGGTCCTGGGGGAGGGAAAATCCCTCAGCCAGGAAAACATCGTGGCACAAAGTGAGGATGACCCTGCTGAGGCTGCGATGCCTCAAATATTGGAAGAAGTCACCCCCTGTGAGTGGCTGGTTGAAGTGCCATCTGTTGAGGAAGTACTGAAGGCGATCCGGAGTCTGAGACCAGGAAAGGCAGCGGGCAGAGATGATCTCCCAAGCGAAATGCTGAGGGAGGGTGGCGTTTGTACACAGACTGCCCTATATGACATCATAACAACAGTCTGGACCACTGGACGAGTTCCGCAGGATTGGAAGGATGCCCTGGTGGTCCCCCTCTTTAAGAAGGGGGCCAGCACAAACTGTAACAACTACAGGGGCATCTCACTCCTCAGTGTGCCGGGAAAGGTCCTGGCAAGGATTATTCAATAACGCCTTGCCAGGCACGCTGAGGAGAGGCTTGCGGAGCCCCAATGCAGTTTCAGGAAAGGGCGGTCCTGCACAGATGCCATATTTTCTGTCCGTCTGCTACAGCAGAGGTGTAGGGAATTCCAGCAAGACCTACATCTCTGCTTTATTGACCTGGTCAAGGCCTATGATACCATCAGTAGGCCTGGGCTCTGGGTTGTTCTTCGTGCTTTTGGAGTCCCTGACCCTCTGCTCACGATCATTAAGGACCTTCATGATGGTGAGCGGGCCCGGGTAAAACGTGGCCCCGAGTCAGAGCCATTCCCTGTACACCTTGGGGTGCGACAGGGATGTCCTCTGGCTCCCACATTATTTAACATCTATTTTGACGACGTAGTTCGTGAAGCCTTCAATAGCTGTGCCGGGGGAATCTCCATATGGTACAGATATAATGGGAGGCTGATCGATGCCAGGGTGCGATCAAGGGATGGCTCCCTATTGCTCAACCACGTTATGTATGCCGATGATTTGGTAATAGCTGCTCATTCAGAGGAGGAGTTGGAGACGCTGTTGCTGAGACTGGAGCGTGCAACTAAGAGATGGGGCCTTACCATCAGCCCCACCAAAACTAAGCACCTGCCTGGGTATTTTGTACCATCGGACACTCCACCCCCACAACTCCCAATCGGTGATGGGGCAGTTGTGGAGAGAGTGGAGAGTTTCCCATACCTGGGCAGTGTGCTTATGACTGGCCCCAGTTTAACAGCAGAGGTCTCACTCCAAATCAGTCGAGCGGCAATATCTCTTTATCGGTTGCGTAACGCTGTGTGGAAGCTACCTGGTCTGTCGCTCCGCACTAAGCTTCAGGTCTTCTCGGCCACGGTCATTCCCTCCCTTCTCTACGCTTGCGAAACGTGGACTCCCCTAATGGAACATCTTCGCCGGTTGGAAACATTTAGGCTGGCCTGCCTACGATCCATCCTGGGTTTAACCAGACTGGATTGTGTGAGGAGCTCACAAATCCTTGAAAGATCTGGGCAGGGTCCCATCGGTGAGCTCCTCCGGCAGGCAAGGCTGCGATGGCTGGGTCATGTAGCCCGCATGCCCAGCCACCGCATGCCGAAACAGCTTTTGTTTGGCCGGATTGAGGGGGCTAAGCGGGCGCGGCACGGGCTAGAGAAGAGATGGAGTGATGTGGGACAGGAGGACGTGGAGCTGAGTGGACTTGCCGATGACTGGTACCAGCGGTGTCAAGATCGGCCTCTGTGGAGGAGGCTCGTGAAGGATGCTACTGGGCAGTTGGAGGCAGTCGCCCTCCAACAACAACGGAGGGCGGAGGAGCGACGCTCAGAACAACGAGCGGAGCGCCGGGTGGCTAAAGCACAGCTGGTTGGCACAGTAGGGGGCACAGGTGGTGCATCAGCCAGTCATCTCAGTCAGTCGACCCGTGGCACCTGGGTCTGCCCCGTGACCTCCTGCCAGCGGGCGTTCGACGCTTCACGTGGCCTCAAGGTGCACCTAGCCTGGCACAAGCGTCGTGGTGACGTCACCGCCACTTAGTGGCGAATGGCGGTTGTTGTTGTGTGAGTCTGTGTGTGTGACTGTGTGTGTGTGTGACTGTGTGTGTCTGTGTGTGTGTGTGTGACTGTGTGTCTGTGTGTGTATGTGACTGTGTGTGTGTGAGAGTCTGACCAGCGTGAGGCCAGTATCTTGCAGAACACGAGTTCACAGCACATTCGCAGTGTGATTCTCTGTGTCTCTGTGTGTGTGTGAGTCTGTGTGTGTGTGAGTCTGTGTGTGTGTATGTGTGTGAGAGTCTGTGTGTGTGAGTCTGTGTGTGAGAGTCTGTGTGTGTTTGAGTCTGTGTGTGTGTATGTGTCTGTGTGTGTGTGTGACTGTGTGTGTGTGTGCGAGTCTGTGTGTGTGAGTCTGTGTGTGTGAGTCTGTGAGTGTGAGTCTGTGTGTGTGAGTCTGTGTGTGTGTGAGTCTGTGTGTATGACGGTGTGTGTGTGACTGTGTGTGTGTGTGAGTCTGTGTGTGTGTGAGTCTGTGTGTGCGACTGTGTGTGTGTGTATGACTGTGTGTGTCTGTGTGTGTGTCTCTGTGTGTGTATGACTCTGTGTGTGTGACTGAGTGCGAGTCTGACCAGCGTGAGGCCAGTATCTTGCAGAACACGAGCTCACAGCACATTCGCAGTGTGATTCTCTGTGTCTCTGTGTGTGTGAGTCTGTGTGTGTGTGTGAGTCTGTGTGTGTGTGAGTCTGTGTGTGTGTGAGTCTGTGTGTGAGAGTCTGTGTGTGTGTGAGTCTGTGTCTGTGTGTGTATGTGAGTCTGTGTCTCTGTGTGTGTGTATGACTGTGTGTGTGTGTGCGAGTCTGACCAGCGTGAGGCCAGTATCTTGCAGAACACGAGCTCACAGCACATTCGCAGAGTGATTCTCCGCTCTTGCAGCTCATCCATGGAGCATTTGGTGACCTCGACGTCACAGTCCTCCTCAGAGTCCACCAGCGCGCGGATGAACTCGCCTGCGACGAGGTGCAGGAGGAGGTGGAGCAACATCAACAGCAGCATTATCATAATCAAAATCATCATCACAATCATAATAAGTCAGAATAAGAATCAGCAGTGAGGTGAGCGACTTTGTGGACGACGGCGACGAGGTGGAAAATGCCGACGAGGTGGACAATGCCGACGACGGCGGCCGTACCCAGCACGTCCTGCAGGTAGCGGTCGGCCACCATGCGGAGATATTCCTCCACGGCTCGCGCGGCGAGAGTGTCGTCCACCAGCACGGTAACTCCCTCGCTCACCGCAGCCCGGCAGGCCTCGGCCAAACCCAGCTCAGTCAGGAGGTCCTGGGGGTAGTCACTCACTCAGTCACTCAGTCACTCACTTAGTCACTCAGACACTCACTCAGTCACTCAGCCAGTCACTCAGTCAGTCACTCAGTCACTCAGGCACTCACTCAGTCACTCAGCCAGTCACTCAGTCAGTCACTCAGGCACTCAGTCAGTTACTCACTCACTCAGTCACTCACTCAGTCACTCAGACACTCACTCAGTCACTCAGTCAGTAACTCACTCATTCAATCACTCAGTCACTCACTCAGTCACTAACTCAGTCACTCACTCAATTACTCAGTCAGTCACTCAGTCACTAGTTGGTGAGCGAGCCGGTGAGCTAGTTGGTGAGTTAACCGGTGAGCTAGCCGGTGAGCTAGCCGGTGAGCTAGTCGGTGAGCTAGCCGGTGAGCTAGCCGGTGAACTAGTTGGTGAGCTAGCTGGTGAGCTAGCCGGTGAGCTAGCTGGTGAGCTAGCTGGTGAGCTAGCCGGTGAGCTAGTTGGTGAGCTAGCTGGTGAGCTAGCCGGTGAGCTAGCCGGTGAGCTAGCCGGTGAGCTAGCCGGTGAGCTAGCTGGTGAGCTAGCCGCTGAGCTAGCCGCTGAGCTAGCCGGTGAGCTAGCCGGTGAGCTAGCCGGTGAGCGAGTTGGTGAGCTAGCCGGTGAGCTAGCTGGTGATGTAGCTGGTGAGCTAGTTGGTGAGCTAGCCGGTGAGCTAGCCGGTGAGCTAGCCGGTGAGCGAGTTGGTGAGCTAGCCGGTGAGCTAGCCAGTGAGCTAGCCGGTGAGCTAGCCGGTGAGCTAGCCGGTGAGCGAGTTGGTGAGCTAGCCGGTGAGCTACCTGGTGAGCTAGCCGGTGAGCTAGCCGGTGAGCTAGCCGGTGAGCGAGTTGGTGAGCTAGCAGGTGAGCTAGCCGGTGAGCTAGCCAGTGAGCGAATTGGTGAGCTAGCTGGTGATCTAGCCAGTGAGCTAGCTGGTGATCTAGCCGGTAAGCTAGCTGGTGAGCTAGCCGGTGAGCTAGCCGGTGAGCTATCTGGTGAGCTAGCTGGTGAGTTATTTGGTGAGCTAGTTGGTGAGCTAGCCGGTGAGCTAGCCGGTGAGCTAGCCGGTGAGCTAGCCGGTGAGCTAGCCAGTGAGCTAGCCGGTGAGCTAGCTGGTGATCTAGCCGGTAAGCTAGCTGGTGAGCTAGCCGGTGAGCTAGCTGGTGAGCTAGTTGGTGAACTAGCTGGTGAGTTATTTGGTGAGCTAGCTGGTGAGCTAGCCGGTGAGCTAGCCGGTGAGCTAGCCGGTGAGCTAGCCGGTGAGCTAGCCAGTGAGCTAGCCGGTGAGCTAGCTGGTGATCTAGCCGGTAAGCTAGCTGGTGAGCTAGCCGGTGAGCTAGCTGGTGAGCTAGTTGGTGAGCTAGCTGGTGAGTTATTTGGTGAGCTAGCTGGTGAGCTAGCCGGTGAGCTAGCCGGTGAGCTAGCCGGTGAGCTAGCCGGTGAGCTAGCCGGTGAGCTAGCCGGTGAGCTAGTTGGTGATCTAGCTGGTGAGCTAGCTGGTGAGCTAGCCGCTGAGCTAGCTGGTGAGTTATTTGGTGAGCTCGCCGGTGAGCTAGCCGGTGAGCGAGTTGGTGAGCTAGCCGGTGAGCTAGCCGGTGAGCGAGTTGGTGAGCTATTTGGTGAGCTAGCCGGTGAGCTAGTTGGTGATCTAGCTGGTGAGCTAGCTGGTGAGCTAGCCGGTGAGCTAGCCGGTGAGCTAGCCGCTGAGCTAGCCGGTGCGCTAGTCGGTGAGCTAGCCGGTGAGCTAGCCGGTGAGTTATTTGGTGAGCTAGCCGGTGAGCTAGCCGGTGAGCTAGCTGGTGAGCTAGCCGGTGAGCTAGCCGGTGAGCTAGCCGTTGAGCTAGCCGTTGAGCTAGCCGGTGAGCTAGTTGGTGATCTAGCTGGTGAGCTAGCTGGTGAGCTAGTTGGTGAACTAGCTGGTGAGTTATTTGGTGAGCTAGCTGGTGAGCTAGCCGGTGAGCTAGCTGGTGAGCTAGCCGGTGAGCTAGCCGGTGAGCTAGTTGGTGAGTTATTTGGTGAGCTAGCCGGTGAGCTAGTTGGTGAGCTAGCCGGTGAGCTAGCCGGTGAGCTAGCCGGTGAGCTAGTTGGTGATCTAGCTGGTGAGCTAGCTGGTGAGCTAGCCGCTGAGCTAGCTGGTGAGTTATTTGGTGAGCTCGCCGGTGAGCTAGCCGGTGAGCGAGTTGGTGAGCTAGCTGGTGAGCTAGCCGGTGAGCGAGTTGGTGAGCTAGTTGCTGAGCTAGCCGGTGAGCTAGTTGGTGATCTAGCTGGTGAGCTAGCTGGTGAGCTAGCCGGTGAGCTAGCCGGTGAGCGAGTTGGTGAGCTAGCCGGTGAGCTAGCCGTTGAGCTAGCCGTTGAGCTAGCCAGTGAGCTAGCCGGTGAGCTAGCCGGTGAGCTAGCCGGTGAGTTATTTGGTGAGCTAGCCGGTGAGCTAGCCGGTGAGCTAGCTGGTGAGCTAGCCGGTGAGCTAGCCGGTGAGCTAGCCGGTGAGCGAGTTGGTGAGTTATTTGGTGAGCTAGCCGGTGAGCTAGCCGTTGAGCTGGCCGGTGAGCTAGCCGGTGAGCTAGCCGGTGAGCTAGCCGCTGAGCTAGCCGGTGAGCTAGCCGGTGAGCTAGCCGGTGAGCTAGCCGGTGAGCTAGCCGGTGAGCTAGCCGGTGAGCTAGCTGCTGAGCTAGCCGGTGCGCTAGCCGGTGAGCTAGCCGGTGAGTTATTTGGTGAGCTAGCCGGTGAGCTAGCCGGTGAGCTAGCTGGTGAGCTAGTTGGTGAGTTATTTGGTGAGCTAGCCGGTGAGCTAGCCGGTGAGCTAGCCGGTGAGCTAGCCGGTGAACTAGTTGGTGAGCTAACCGGTGAACTAGCTGGTGAGTTATTTGGTGAGCTAGCCGATGAGCTAGCCGGTGAGCTAGCCGGTGAGCTAGCCGGTGAGCTAGCCGGTGAGTTATTTGGTGAGCTAGCCGGTGAGCTAGCCGGTGAGCTAGCCGGTGAGCTAGCCGGTGAGCGAGTTGATGAACGAGCTGGTGAGTTATTTGGTGAGCTAGCCGGTGAACTAGTTGGTGAGCTAGCCGGTGACCTAGTTGGTGAGTTATTTGGTGAGCTAGCCGGTGAGGTAGTTGGTGAGCTAGCCGGTGAGCTAGCCGGTGAGCTAGCTGGTGAGTTATTTGGTGAGCTAGCTGGTGAGCTAGCCGGTGAGCTAGCCGGTGAGCTAACCGGTGAGCTAGTTGGTGAGCTAGCCGGTGAGCTAGTTGGTGAGCTAGCCGGTGAGCTAGCCGGTGACCTAGTTGGTGAGGTATTTGGTGAGCTAGCCGGTGAGCTAGTTGGTGAGCTAGCCGGTGAGCTAGCCGGTGAGCTAGTCGGTGAGCTACCTGGTGAGCTAGCCGGTGAGCTAGCCGGTGAGCTAGCCGGTGAGCTAGCCGGTGAGCGAGTTGGTGAGCTAGTTGGTGAGTTATTTGGTGAGCTAGCCGGTGAGCTAGTTGGTGAGCTAGCCGGTGAGCTAGCCGGTGAGCTAGCTGGTGAGCTAGCCGGTGAGCTAGCCGGTGAGCTAGCTGGTGAGTTATTTGGTGAGCTAGCTGGTGAGCTAGCCGGTGAGCTAGCCGGTGAGCTAGCCGGTGAGCTAGCCGGTGAGCGAGTTGATGAACGAGCTGGTGAGTTATTTGGTGAGCTAGCCGGTGAACTAGTTGGTGAGCTAGCCGGTGACCTAGTTGGTGAGTTATTTGGTGAGCTAGCCGGTGAGCTAGTTGGTGAGCTAGCCGGTGAGCTAGCCGGTGAGCTAGCTGGTGAGTTATTTGGTGAGCTAGCTGGTGAGCTAGCCGGTGAGCTAACCGGTGAGCTAGTTGGTGAGCTAGCCGGTGAGCTAGTTGGTGAGCTAGCCGGTGAGCTAGCCGGTGACCTAGTTGGTGAGTTATTTGGTGAGCTAGCCGGTGAGCTAGTTGGTGAGCTAGCCGGTGAGCTAGCCGGTGAGCTAGTCGGTGAGCTAGTCGGTGAGCTACCTGGTGAGCTAGCCGGTGAGCTAGCCGGTGAGCTAGCCGGTGAGCTAGCCGGTGAGCGAGTTGGTGAGCTAGTTGGTGAGTTATTTGGTGAGCTAGCCGGTGAGCTAGTTGGTGAGCTAGCCGGTGAGCTAGCCGGTGAGCTAGCTGGTGAGCTAGCCGGTGAGCTAGCCGGTGAGCTAGCTGGTGAGTTATTTGGTGAGCTAGCTGGTGAGCTAGCCGGTGAGCTAGCCGGTGAGCTAGCCGGTGAGCTAGTTGGTGAGCTAGTTGGTGAACTAGCCGGTGAGCTAGTTGGTGAGCTAGCCGGTGAGCTAGCCGGTGACCTAGTTGGTGAGTTATTTGGTGAGCTAGTTGGTGAGCTAGCCGGTGAGCTAGCCGGTGAGCTAGCTGGTGAGTTATTTGGTGAGCTAGCTGGTGAGCTAGCCGGTGAGCTAGTTGGTGAGCTAGCCGGTGAGCTAGTTGGTGAGCTAGTCGGTGAGCTACCTGGTGAGCTAGCCGGTGAGCTAGCCGCTGAGCTAGCCGGTGAGCTAGCCGGTGACCTAGTTGGTGAGTTATTTGGTGAGCTAGCCGGTGAGCTAGTTGGTGAGCTAGCCGGTGAGCTAGCCGGTGAGCTAGTCGGTGAGCTACCTGGTGAGCTAGCCGGTGAGCTAGCCGGTGAGCTAGCCGGTGAGCTAGCCGGTGAGCGAGTTGGTGAGCTAGTTGGTGAGTTATTTGGTGAGCTAGCCGGTGAGCTAGTTGGTGAGATAGCCGGTGAGCTAGCCGGTGAGCTAGCTGGTGAGCTAGCCGGTGAGCTAGCCGGTGAGCTAGCTGGTGAGTTATTTGGTGAGCTAGCTGGTGAGCTAGCCGGTGAGCTAGCCGGTGAGCTAGCCGGTGAGCTAGTTGGTGAGCTAGTTGGTGAACTAGCCGGTGAGCTAGTTGGTGAGCTAGCCGGTGAGCTAGCCGGTGACCTAGTTGGTGAGTTATTTGGTGAGCTAGTTGGTGAGCTAGCCGGTGAGCTAGCCGGTGAGCTAGCTGGTGAGTTATTTGGTGAGCTAGCTGGTGAGCTAGCCGGTGAGCTAGCCGGTGAGCTAGCCGGTGAGCTAGCCGGTGAGCTAGCCGGTGAGCTAGGCGGTGAGCTCGCCGGTGAGCTAGCCGGTGAGCTAGTCGGTGAGCTAGTTGGTGAGCTAGCCGGTGAGCTAGCTGGTGAGCTAGATGTTGAGCTAGCTAGCCGGTGAGCTAGCCGGTGAGCTAGCTAGCCGGTGAGCTAACCAGTGAGCTAGCTAGCCGGTGAGCTAGCCGGTGAGCTAGCCGGTGAGCTAGCTGTTGAGCTAGCTAGCCGGTAGGCTAGCTGGTGAGCTAGCTAGCCGGTGAGCTAACCAGTGAGCTAGCTAGCCGGTGAGCTAGCCGGTGAGCTAGCCGGTGAGCGTCTCACCTGTGCGCGCCCCGTGGCGTGTAGGAAGCGCACCAGCGCACGTGCCGCCTCTGCTCGCCCTCTGGACGTCAGCGCCGGCTCCACCAGCAGGCAGAGCTGGAGGCTGGCGGAGCCAAGCAGCTCGCCCAGCTCCTTGTAGCGCTCAGTGGGGAGGATACGGAGGACTCGCCTGGGGGGTGGGGACCACACGGGGGAGAGACACGGGGAGAGACACGGGGAGAGACACGGGGGGAGAGACACGGGGGGAGAGACACGGGGCGGGAGACACGGGGGGAGACACGGGGGGAGAGACACGGGGGGGGAGACACGGGGGGAGAGACACGGGGGGGAAACACGGGGGGAGAGACATGGGGGGAGACACGGGGGAGAGACACGGGGGAGAGACACGGGGGGGGGGAGACACGGGGGGGGAGACACGGGGGGAGAGACACGGGGGGAGAGACACGGGGGGGAGACACGGGGGGAGAGACACGGGGGGAGAGACACGGGGGGAGAGACACGGGGGGGAGAGACACGGGGGGGAGAGACACGGGGGGGGAGACACGGGGGGAGAGACACGGGGGGAGACACGGGGAGGAGACACGGGGGAGAGACACGGGGGAGAGACACGGGGGGGGGGAGACACGGGGGGGGAGACACGGGGGGAGAGACACGGGGGGGGAGACATGGGGGGAGTGACGTGGGTGGAGAGACACGGGGGGCAGACACGGGGAGAGAGACACGGAGACACGGGGGGGAGACACGGGGGGAGAGACACGGGGGGGAGACACGGGGGGAGAGACACGGGGGGAGAGACACGGGGAGGGAGACACGGGGGGAGAGACACGGGGGGAGAGACACGGGGGGAGAGACACGGGGGGGGAGACACGGGGGGAGAGACACGGGGGGAGACACGGGGGGAGAGACACGGGGGGGAGAGACACGGGGGGAGACACGGGGAGGAGACACGGGGGAGAGACACGGGGGAGAGACACGGGGGGGGGGGAGACACGGGGGGGGAGACACGGGGGGAGAGACACGGGGGGAGACACGGGGGGGGGGAGACACGGGGGGAGAGACACGGGGGGAGAGACACGGGGGGAGAGACACGGGGGGGGGAGACACGGGGGGGAGACACGGGGGGAGAGACACGGGGGGGGAGACACGGGGGGAGAGACACGGGGGGGGAGACACGGGGGGAGAGACACGGGGGGAGACACGGGGGGGGGGCGACACGGGGGGAGAGACACGGGGGGAGAGACACGGGGGGAGACACGGGGGGGGGAGACACGGGGGGGAGACACGGGGGAGAGACACGGGGGAGAGACACGGGGGGAGAGACACGGGGGGGAGAGACACGGGGGGGAGAGACACGGGGGGAGACACGGGGGAGAGACACGGGGGGAGAGACACGGGGGGGAGACACGGGGGAGAGACACGGGGGGAGAGACACGGGGGGAGAGACACGGGGGAGAGACACGGGGGAGAGACACGGGGGGGGGAGACGCGGGGGGAGACACGGGGGGAGACATTACCATCACCACCACCCCCACCTTCACCACCACCATCACCACCACCACCACCATCACCAAAAACAACAACAACCGCCATTTGCCACTAAGTGGCGGTGATGTCACCACGACGCTTGTGCCAGGCTATGTGCACCTTGAGGCTACCACGTGAAGTGTCGGATGCCCGCTGGCAGGAGGTCACGGGGCAGACCCAGCAGGTGCCACGGGTCGACTGACTGAGATGACTGAGATGACTGGCTGATGCACCACCTGTGCCCCCTACTGTGCCAACCTGCTGTGCTTTAGCCACCCGGCGCTCCGCTCGTTGTTGTGAGCGTCGCTCCTCCGCCCTCCGTTGTTGTTGGAGGGCGACTGCCTCCAACTGCCCAGTAGCATCCTTCACGAGCCTCCTCCACAGAGGCCGATCTTGACACCGCTGGTACCAGTCATCGGCAAGTCCACTCAGCTCCACGTCCTCCTGTACCACATCACTCCATCTCTTCTCTAGCCCGTGCCGCGCCCGTTTAGGCCCCTCGATCCGGCCGAACAAAAGCTGTTTCGGCATGCGGTGGCTGGGCATGCGGGCTACATGACCCAGCCAACGCAGCCTTGCCTACCGGAGGAGCTCCCCGATGGGACTTTGTCCAGATCTCTCAAGGATTTGTGAGCTCCACACAATCCAGCCTGGTTAAACCCAGGATGGATCGAAGGCAGGCCAGCCTAAATGTTTCTAACCGGCGAAGATGTTCCATTAGGGGGGTCCGCATTTCGCAAGCATAGAGAAGGGAGGGCATGGCCGTGGCCGAGAAGACCTGAAGCTTAGTGCGGAGCGACAGACCAGGTAGCTTCCACACAGCGTTACGCAACCGATAAAAAGATAATGCCGCTTGACTGATTCGGAGTGAGACCTCTGCTGTTAAACTGGAGCCGGTCATGGGCACACTGCCCAGGTATGGGAAACTCTCCACTCTCTCCACAATTGCCCCATCACCGATTGGGAGTGGTGGGGGTGGAGTATCCGATGGTACAAAATACCCAGGCAGGTGCTTAGTTTTGGTGGGGCTGATGGTAAGGCCCCACCTCTTAGTGGCAAGCTCCAGTTTCAGCAGCAGCACCTCCAACTCCTCTGAGTGAGCAGCAATCACCAGATCATCGGCATACATAACGTAGTTGAGCAATAGGGAGCCATCCCTTGACCACACCTGGGCATCGATCAGCCTCCCATTGTATCTGTACCAGATGGAAATTCTTCCAGTACAGCAATCGAAGGCTTCACGAACTACACGGTCGAAATAGATGTTAAATAATGTGGGAGCCAGAGGACATCCCTGTCGCACCCCAAAGTGAACAGGGAATGGCTCCGACTCCTGGCCACGTAGACTTACGTGGGCCCGCTCACCATCATGAAGGTCCTTAATGATCGTTAGCAGAGAGTCAAGGCCTTGACCAGGTCAATAAAGCAGAGATGTAGGTCTTGTTGGAATTCCCTACACCTCTGCTGTAGCAGACAGACAGAAAATATGGCATCTGTGCAGGACCGCCCTTTCCTGAAACTGCATTGGGGCTCCGCAAGCCTCTCCTCAGCGTGCCTGGCAAGGCGATGTTGAATAATCCTTGCCATGACCTTTCCCGGCCTCACACTAAGGAGTGAGATGCCCCTGTAGTTGTTAGAGTCTGTGCGGTCCCCCTTCTTAAAGAGGGGGACCACCAGGGCACCCTTACAATCCTGCGGAACCTGTCCAGTGGTCCAGACTGTTGTTATGATCTCATATAGGGCAGTCTGTGCACAAACGCCACCCTCCCTCAGCATTTTGCTTGGGAGATCATCTCTGCCCGATGCCTTTCCTGGTCCCAGACTCTGGATCGCCTTCAGTACTTCCTCAACAGATGGCACCTCAGCCAACCACTCATAGGGGGTGACTTCTTCCTCCAATATTTGAGGCACAGCAGCCTCAGCAGGGTCATCCCCACTTTGTGCCAGGATGTTTTCCTGGCTGAGGGACCTCACAGAAATGCTTAGTAAATCTGCAAACGTGTTCCTGGGTGTCGGAGATTGGATCACCGTTCTTTCCCCCAATGATGGTAATAGGTGTGGCGCTGCAGGTTACTTTTTTATGGCGTTAAATAGAGATTTGTGATCGCGGGCCACTGAGGCAGACTCCATCTCCTCAGCAACCCGTGACCACCACCCATCCTTGCAGCGCCTCACGGCTCTCCGAACCTCCGAGCGAAGGCTGCGGTAAGCCTACTCATTCTCTGACGTGGGATTCTGTAGCCGATGACAGTGGGCCTGTCGCTTTTTCTCAGCCAGCCTGAACACCTCCTCTGTCAGCCAGGGTCTCTGGGGAGGTCTGGACCGTGCACACCAAAGCAGCCATTGCAGCTGCATGAGTGACAGTCCTAAACCTCGCCCATTTCTCCTCGACATCAGAAGGAGTGGGGGACGATGCCAACCCCAGCCGCAAGCGATGATGAAATTCTTGCTTGCAACTTTCATCAGCTAGTTGAGACCAGGCCACTATGGGTTTGAATGGGGTCCTGGGTGTACACCCACCACCGGAGTGGAAGAATCACAGGCGCATCTTACAGATGACAAGTCGATGGTCAGTGGGCAGATCAGCTCCACGGTAGGTCCTGTTGTCAAGGACATGGGCTCGCATCCGCTGGTCCGTCACTATACAGTCCAGCAGATGTTTTGCTTGGACCCGGCATGCATCCATGATGTTGTGTGGATGTGCCGATGCCGGAACAGCGTGTTGGTAATTACAAGCCCATGGGCTGCACAAAAATCTAGCAGCCTCCTACCGTTGTTATTGAACTGATCTGGCCCATGCCTTCCAATCACTCCAGACCAGGTGACAACATCATGACCAACTCGGGCATTAAAGTCACCCAACATGATAGCTCTATCACGAGGGGCCACTTTAGCTAGCACCTGTGACAGGAGGTCATAGAAGGCATCTGACTCATCGGCCTTGCCTGCATCCCTCCACGGATGTTCGTCTTCGGTGGGGGCATAAGTAACCACGACCACCACTCCTCGCCTCTGGTTGATGGGAAGGCGAGCCCGAAGTAGCCTGGGGCTTACAGCTTCCCACACCTCACCACCACGCTCCCACACCCCCTTCATTCTTTTGTTCAGAAGAAGAGCCACTCCCTGTTGTTTGGCAGTCTCCTGCCCCGAGTAGAGGACTGTCCACTCCTCATGGTGGCAGGAGCCAGAACCGGTCCACCGGACCTCCTGAATGCCACAGAGATCCAGGCGGTACCGGTCCAGCTCCCGACAGAGGAGTGGCAGCCTCTCCTCCGCAGTGAGCGTTCGAACATTCCACGTGGCCACACGAAGCGGCTTTTCGTTGTTTCTGGAGGAGCCCCGAGGGCAGAGATTCAATCTCCTGGCTCCGCCAAATGGGGTTTGGCCAGGAGACGTCATAGACGCCTGTCCCCCCGGGGTCTCCGGCACAAGCATTGTATATTTTTTCCGTGGTATCGTGGTAATTTATTTGAAGGTGGAGGGGTTACCAGCCCCTCGCACCCGTCCAGAGCACCCCACCATCACCACCACCCCCACCACAAACCCCACCACCATCACCACCACCCCCACCATCATCACCACCCCCACCACAAACCCCACCACCATCACCACTATCACCACCACCCCCACCATCATCACCACCACCCCCACCACCATCACCACCACCACCACCACCACAAACCCCACCACCATCACCACCACCCCCATCATCACCACCACCCCCACCACCATCACCACCACCACCACCACCACAAACCCCACCACCATCACCACCATCACCACCACCCCCACCACCATCACCACCATCACCACCACCCCCACCACCATCACCACCATCACCACCACCCCCACCACCATCACCACCATCACCACCACCACCACCACCACCACCGCTCTCCCCCTCACCTTCGCGACCGAACTCTCAACACCGGCGCCCTCCCTCCGTGGCTCTGCTGCTGCTGCTGCTGCTGCTGCTGCAGGTGGTGGTGCGAGCCACCGCCGCCGAGGCCGCCCACCACGCTGACGGTGACGCTCGACCTTCCCGGCGTGGGGACGCTCAGCGGGTACCACCGCTCCACCGCCCGGCCCGTGCCGTCCAACGCTATGTCGACCAGCCCGGCGTAGCTCGACCGCTCCCGCTCCCTCTCGCCGCGGTCTCGCCCTGCGCCACCGGCGGCCCCGGCGGCCCCGCCGGCGGCCCCGGCCTGCCGCCGCTTGCGCTCCGACGACGACTCCTTGTACAGGTAGACGGTGAGCTGCTGGGCCGCCGGAGGGGCGCTCGCAAACTCGAAGCGTTCGCCCCACAGCACGGCCAGCTCGCCGCTCGAACCGCCGCCGCCGCCGGACGACGAAGAGGAGGCGGCGGTCGCGGCGGCCGCGGCCGCGGCGGCCGCGGCCGCGGCCGCCGCAGCCGCGGCCGCGGCCGCCGCCGACGACGAGGAGGAGGAGGACGAGGAGGAGGAGGAGGCCGGGGGCGGCGGCGGAGGAGGCGGGGCGGCGGTCTTGCCGCGCGAGGTGGTGCGGGCGTAGAGCACCTCGTCCAGGCAGACCTCGCAGAAGAAGAACTTCTTAGAGGAGGGAAGGTCGCGGGCCTCCATCACCCACACCTCCACATCAGCCTCCACCCGCAGCATGTTGTCCTGGGGGGGGGGGGGGGGGGGGCGCGCGGTGGGGCGGGCCGAGGAAACTCTTTGAGTGTGTCTGCGTGTGTGGTGCTGAGCTTATAGCGGGAGAGGTCACGGGCATCCATCACCAACAACTCCACGTCCGCCTGTACCCGCAGCATGTTGTCCTGGGGAGGTGGTGGGGGGTGCGTGGTGGTGGGGGGGGGGGGGGGTGGGTATGAGTGGTGGGGGGGTGGGTATGAGTATGGCTGATAGTTCTGAGTATGTATGAGTGTGAGTGGGTGTGAGTGGGTGGGTATGATTGAGTATTGGTGGGTATGAGTATGGGTATGAATGCGTGTGAGTGTATGAGTGTGTAGGTACGAGCGAGTGTGAGTGTATGTGTGTGAGTGTATGAGTGTGAGTGTATGAGTGTGAGTGTATGAGTGTGTGAGTGTGTGAGTGTATGAGTGTGTGTGTATGAGTGTGAGTGTATGAGTGTGAGTGTATGAGTGTATGAGTGTGTGAGAGTGTGAGTGTGTGAGTGTGAGTGTGTGAGTGTGTGTGAATGTATGATTGTGGGTATGAGTGTGTGAGTGTATGAGTGTGTGTGTGTGTATGAGTGTGAGTGTATGAGTGTGTGAGTGTATGAGTGTGAGTGTATGAGTGTGAGTGTGTGAGTGTATGAGTGTGAGTGTATGAGTGTGAGTGTATGAGTGTGTGAGTGCATGAGTGTGTGTGTATGAGTGTGAGTGTATGAGTGTGAGTGTATGAGTGAGTGTACGAGTGTATGAGTGAGTGTATGAGTGTGTGAGTGTGTGAGTGTATGAGAGTGTGTGTGTATGAGGGTCGTTCTTCGTGCTTTTGGAGTACCTGACCCTCTGCTCACGATCATTAAGGACCTTCATGATGGTGAACGGGCCCGGGTAAAACTACGTGGCCGGGAGTCAGAGCCATTCCCTGTACACCTTGGGGTGCGACAGGGATGTCCTCTGGCTCCCACATTATTTAACATCTATTTTGACCACGTAGTTCGTGAAGCCTTCAATAGCTGTACCGGGGGAATCTCCATATGGTACAGATATAATGGGAGGCTAATCGATGCCCGGGTGCGGTCAAGGGATGGCTCCCTATTGCTCAACCACGTTATGTATGCTGATGACTTGGTAATAGCTGCTCAGTCAGAGGAGGAGTTGGAGACGCTGCTGCTGAGACTGGAGTGTGCCACTAAGAGGTGGGGCCTTACCATCAGCCCCACCAAAACTAAGCACCTGCCTGGGTATTTTGTACCATCGGACACTCCACCCCCACAACTCCCAATCGGTGATGGGGCAGTTGTGGAGAGAGTGGAGAGTTTCCCATACCTGGGCAGTGTGCTTATGACTGGCTCCAGTTTAACAGCAGAGGTCTCACTCCGAATCAGTCGAGCGGCAATATCTTTTCATCGGTTGCGTAACGCTGTGTGGAAGCTACCTGGTCTGTCGCTCCGCACTAAGCTTCAGGTCTTCTCGGCCACGGTCATTCCCTCCCTTCTCTACGCTTGCGAAACGTGGACCCCCCTAATGGAACATCTTCGCCGGTTAGAAACATTTAGGCTGGCCTGCCTACGATCCATCCTGGGTTTAACCAGACTGGATTGTGTGAGGAGCTCACAAATCCTTGAAAGATCTGGGCAGGGTCCCATCAGTGAGCTCCTCCGGCAGGCAAGGCTGCGATGGCTGGGTCATGTAGCCCGCATGCCCAGCCACCGCATGCCGAAACAGCTTTTGTTTGGCCGGATTGAGGGGGCTAAGCGGGCGCGGCACGGGCTAGAGAAGAGATGGAGTGATGTGGTACAGGAGGACGTGGAGCTGAGTGGACTTGCCGATGACTGGTACCAGCAGTGTCAAGATCGGCCTCTGTGGAGGAGGCTCGTGAAGGATGCTACTGGGCAGTTGGAGGCAGTCGCCCTCCAACAACAACGGAGGGCGGAGGAGCGACGCTCACAACAGCGAGCGGAGCGCCGGGTGGCTAAAGCACAGCAGGTTGGCACAGTAGGGGGCACAGGTGGTGCATCAGCCAGTCATCTCAGTCAGTCGACCCGTGGCACCTGGGTCTGCCCCGTGACCTCCTGCCAGCGGGCGTTCGACACTTCACGTGGCCTCAGGGTGCACATAGCCTGGCACAAGCGTCGTGGTGACGTCACCGCCACTTAGTGGCGAATGGCGGTTGTTGTTGTTGTGTATGAGTGTGAGTGTATGAGTGTGTGAGTGTATGAGTGTGAGTGTGTGAGTGTATGAGTGTGAGTGTATGAGTGTGTGAGTGTGTGAGTGTATGAGAGTGTGTGTGTATGAGTGTGAGTGTATGAGTGTGAGTGTATGAGTGTGTGAGTGTATGAGTGTGAGTGTGTGAGTGTGTGAGTGTATGAGTGTGAGTGTATGAGTGTGTGAGTGCATGAGTGTGTGTGTATGAGTGTATGAGTGAGTGTATGAGTGTGAGTGTATGAGTGTGTGAGTGTGTGAGTGTATGAGTGTGTGAGTGTATGAGTGTGAGTGTGTGAGTGTGTGTGAGTGTATGATTGTGGGTATGAGTGTGACGCTAGTGGTGGTATCACCTTGTTGGGCTGCACGATTAGCAGGAGGGTCTCCATCCACTTGTCTCACTCGCCTGCATGGGTGGGTATGGGGTGGGTATGGGGTGGTTATGGGGTGGGTATGGGGTGGGTATGGGGTGGGTATGGGGTGAGAACGAGTGGGTGGAGTGGGTGAGTACGAGTGGGTGGAGCGGGTGGAGTGGGTGGAGTGGGTGGAGTGGGTGTAGTGGGTGTAGTGGGTGGAGTGGGTGGAGTGGGTGAGTACAAGTGGGTGGAGTGGGTGAGTACGAGTGGGTGGAGTGGGTGGAGTGGGTGGAGTGGGTGGAGTGGGTGAGTACGAGTGGGTGGAGTGGGTGGAGTGGGTGAGTACGAGTGGGTGGAGTGGGTGAGTACGAGTGGGTGGAGTGGGTGAGTACGAGTGGGTGGAGTGGGTGTAGTGGGTGTAGTGGGTGGAGTGGGTGAGTACGAGTGGGTGGAGTGGGTGGAGTGGGTGAGTACGAGTGGGTGGAGTGGGTGTAGTGGGTGGAGTGAGTGAGTACGAGTGGGTGTAGTGGGTGAGTACGAGTGGGTGGAGTGGGTGGAGTGGGTGAGTACGAGTGGGTGGAGTGGGTGAGTACGAGTGGGTGTAGTGGGTGTAGTGGATGGAGTGGGTGTAGTGGGTGTAGTGGGTGTAGTGGGTGAGTACGAGTGGGTGTAGTGGGTGTAGTGGGTGTAGTGGGTGTAGTGGGTGAGTACGAGTGGGTGTAGTGGGTGTAGTGGGTGTAGTGTGTGTAGTGTGTGTAGTGGGTGTAGTGGGTGTAGTGGGTGTAGTGTGTGTAGTGGGTGTAGTGGGTGTAGTGTGTGTAGTGGGTGTAGTGGGTGTAGTGGGTGTAGTGTGTGTAGTGGGTGTAGTGGGTGTAGTGTGTGTAGTGGGTGTAGTGGGTGTAGTGTGTGTAGTGGGTGTAGTGGGTGTAGTGGGTGGAGTGGGTGAGTACGAGTGGGTGTAGTGGGTGTAGTGTGTGTAGTGGGTGTAGTGGGTGTAGTGGGTGTAGTGGGTGGAGTGGATGGAGTGGGTGAGTACGAGTGGGTGTAGTGGGTGTAGTGGGTGTAGTGGGTGTAGTGGGTGAGTACGAGTGGGTGTAGTGGGTGTAGTGGGTGTAGTGGGTGAGTGTGTGTAGTGGGTGTAGTGGGTGTAGTGGGTGTAGTGTGTGTAGTGGGTGTAGTGGGTGTAGTGGGTGTAGTGTGTGTAGTGGGTGAGTGGGTGTAGTGGGTGTAGTGGGTGAGTACGAGTGGGTGTAGTGGGTGTAGTGTGTGTAGTGGGTGTAGTGTGTGTAGTGTGTGTAGTGGGTGAGTACGAGTGTGTGTAGTGGGTGTAGTGTGTGTAGTGGGTGTAGTGTGTGTAGTGTGTGTAGTGGGTGGAGTGGGTGAGTACGAGTGGGTGGAGCGGGTGGAGTGGGTGGAGTGGGTGGAGTGGGTGTAGTGGGTGGAGTGGGTGGAGTGGGTGAGTACAAGTGGGTGGAGTGGGTGAGTACGAGTGGGTGGAGTGGGTGGAGTGGGTGGAGTGGGTGGAGTGGGTGAGTACGAGTGGGTGGAGTGGGTGGAGTGGGTGAGTACGAGTGGGTGGAGTGGGTGAGTACGAGTGGGTGGAGTGGGTGAGTACGAGTGGGTGGAGTGGGTGTAGTGGGTGTAGTGGGTGGAGTGGGTGAGTACGAGTGGGTGGAGTGGGTGGAGTGGGTGAGTACGAGTGGGTGGAGTGGGTGTAGTGGGTGGAGTGAGTGAGTACGAGTGGGTGTAGTGGGTGAGTACGAGTGGGTGGAGTGGGTGGAGTGGGTGAGTACGAGTGGGTGGAGTGGGTGAGTACGAGTGGGTGTAGTGGGTGTAGTGGATGGAGTGGGTGTAGTGGGTGTAGTGGGTGTAGTGGGTGAGTACGAGTGGGTGTAGTGGGTGTAGTGGGTGTAGTGGGTGTAGTGGGTGAGTACGAGTGGGTGTAGTGGGTGTAGTGGGTGTAGTGTGTGTAGTGTGTGTAGTGTGTGTAGTGTGTGTAGTGGGTGTAGTGGGTGTAGTGTGTGTAGTGGGTGTAGTGGGTGTAGTGTGTGTAGTGGGTGTAGTGGGTGTAGTGGGTGTAGTGTGTGTAGTGGGTGTAGTGGGTGTAGTGTGTGTAGTGGGTGTAGTGGGTGTAGTGTGTGTAGTGGGTGTAGTGGGTGTAGTGGGTGTAGTGGGTGAGTACGAGTGGGTGTAGTGGGTGTAGTGTGTGTAGTGGGTGTAGTGGGTGTAGTGGGTGTAGTGGGTGGAGTGGATGGAGTGGGTGAGTACGAGTGGGTGTAGTGGGTGTAGTGGGTGTAGTGGGTGTAGTGGGTGAGTACGAGTGGGTGTAGTGGGTGTAGTGGGTGTAGTGGGTGAGTGTGTGTAGTGGGTGTAGTGGGTGTAGTGGGTGTAGTGTGTGTAGTGGGTGTAGTGGGTGTAGTGGGTGTAGTGTGTGTAGTGGGTGAGTGGGTGTAGTGGGTGAGTACGAGTGTGTGTAGTGGGTGTAGTGTGTGTAGTGGGTGTAGTGTGTGTAGTGTGTGTAGTGGGTGTAGTGGGTGTAGTGTGTGTAGTGGGTGTAGTGGGTGTAGTGTGTGTAGTGGGTGTAGTGTGTGTAGTGTGTGTAGTGGGTGTAGTGTGTGTAGTGTGTGTAGTGTGTGTAGCGGGTGTAGTGTGTGTAGTGGGTGTAGCGGGTGTAGTGGGTGAGTGGGTGTAGTGGGTGTAGTGTGTGTAGTGGGTGTAGTGTGTGTAGTGGGTGTAGTGGGTGTAGTGTGTGTAGTGGGTGTAGTGTGTGTAGTGGGTGTAGTGGGTGTAGTGTGTGTAGTGGGTGAGTACGAGTGGGTGTAGTGTGTGTAGTGTGTGTAGTGGGTGTAGTGGGTGTAGTGTGTGTAGTGGGTGTAGTGTGTGTAGTGGGTGTAGTGGGTGTAGTGTGTGTAGTGGGTGTAGTGTGTGTAGTGGGTGTAGTGGGTGTAGTGTGTGTAGTGGGTGAGTACGAGTGGGTGTAGTGTGTGTAGTGGGTGTAGTGTGTGTAGTGGGTGAGTACGAGTGGGTGTAGTGGGTGTAGTGTGTGTAGCGGGTGTAGTGGGTGTAGTGGGTGTAGTGGGTGTAGTGGGTGTAGTGTGTGTAGTGTGTGTAGTGTGTGAGTGGGTGTAGTGGGTGTAGTGGGTGTAGTGTGTGTAGTGGGTGTAGTGGGTGTAGTGGGTGTAGTGTGTGTAGCGGGTGTAGTGGGTGTAGTGGGTGTAGTGGGTGGAGTTGGTGAGTACGAGTGTGTGTAGTGGGTGTAGTGTGTGTAGTGGGTGTAGTGTGTGTAGTGTGTGTAGCGGGTGTAGTGGGTGTAGCGGGTGTAGTGTGTGTAGTGGGTGTAGTGGGTGTAGTGTGTGTAGTGGGTGTAGTGTGTGTAGCGGGTGTAGTGGGTGTAGTGTGTGTAGTGTGTGTAGTGGGTGTAGTGGGTGAGTACGAGTGTGTGTAGTGGGTGTAGTGTGTGTAGCGGGTGTAGTGTGTGTAGTGTGTGTAGTGGGTGTAGTGTGTGTAGTGTGTGTAGTGTGTGTAGTGGGTGTAGTGGGTGTAGTGGGTGAGTACGAGTGTGTGTAGTGGGTGTAGTGTGTGTAGTGGGTGTAGTGGGTGAGTACGAGTGTGTGTAGTGTGTGTAGTGTGTGTAGTGTGTGTAGTGGGTGTAGTGTGTGTAGTGTGTGTAGTGGGTGTAGTGGGTGTAGTGTGTGTAGTGGGTGTAGTGGGTGTAGTGTGTGTAGTGTGTGTAGTGTGTGTAGCGGGTGTAGTGTGTGTAGTGTGTGTAGTGGGTGTAGCGGGTGTAGTGTGTGTAGTGTGTGTAGTGGGTGTAGTGTGTGTAGTGGGTGTAGTGTGTGTAGTGTGTGTAGCGGGTGTAGTGGGTGTAGTGGGTGTAGTGGGTGGAGTTGGTGAGTACGAGTGTGTGTAGTGTGTGTAGTGTGTGTAGTGTGTGTAGTGGGTGTAGTGTGTGTAGTGGGTGTAGTGGGTGTAGTGTGTGTAGTGTGTGTAGTGGGTGTAGTGTGTGTAGTGTGTGTAGTGGGTGTAGTGTGTGTAGTGGGTGTAGTGTGTGTAGTGGGTGTAGTGTGTGTAGTGTGTGTAGTGTGTGTAGTGGGTGTAGCGGGTGTAGTGTGTGTAGTGGGTGTAGTGTGTGTAGTGTGTGTAGTGGGTGTAGTGGGTGTAGTGGGTGTAGTGGGTGAGTACGAGTGTGTGTAGTGTGTGTAGTGTGTGTAGTGGGTGTAGTGTGTGTAGTGTGTGTAGTGGGTGTAGTGGGTGTAGTGTGTGTAGTGGGTGTAGTGGGTGTAGTGGGTGTAGTGGGTGTAGTGTGTGTAGTGGGTGTAGTGGGTGTAGTGGGTGTAGTGGGTGAGTACGAGTGTGTGTAGTGTGTGCAGTGTGTGTAGTGGGTGTAGTGGGTGAGTACGAGTGTGTGTAGTGTGTGTAGTGTGTGTAGTGTGTGTAGTGGGTGAGTACGAGTGGGTGTAGTGGGTGTAGTGTGTGTAGTGTGTGTAGTGTGTGTAGCGGGTGTAGTGTGTGTAGTGTGTGTAGTGGGTGTAGCGGGTGTAGTGTGTGTAGTGTGTGTAGTGGGTGTAGTGTGTGTAGTGGGTGTAGTGTGTGTAGTGTGTGTAGCGGGTGTAGTGGGTGTAGTGGGTGTAGTGGGTGGAGTTGGTGAGTACGAGTGTGTGTAGTGTGTGTAGTGTGTGTAGTGTGTGTAGTGGGTGTAGTGTGTGTAGTGGGTGTAGTGGGTGTAGTGTGTGTAGTGTGTGTAGTGGGTGTAGTGTGTGTAGTGTGTGTAGTGGGTGTAGTGTGTGTAGTGGGTGTAGTGTGTGTAGTGGGTGTAGTGTGTGTAGTGTGTGTAGTGTGTGTAGTGGGTGTAGCGGGTGTAGTGTGTGTAGTGGGTGTAGTGTGTGTAGTGTGTGTAGTGGGTGTAGTGGGTGTAGTGGGTGTAGTGGGTGAGTACGAGTGTGTGTAGTGTGTGTAGTGTGTGTAGTGGGTGTAGTGTGTGTAGTGTGTGTAGTGGGTGTAGTGGGTGTAGTGTGTGTAGTGGGTGTAGTGGGTGTAGTGGGTGTAGTGGGTGTAGTGTGTGTAGTGGGTGTAGTGGGTGTAGTGGGTGTAGTGGGTGAGTACGAGTGTGTGTAGTGTGTGCAGTGTGTGTAGTGGGTGTAGTGGGTGAGTACGAGTGTGTGTAGTGTGTGTAGTGTGTGTAGTGTGTGTAGTGGGTGAGTACGAGTGGGTGTAGTGGGTGTAGTGGGTGTAGTGGGTGGAGTTGGTGAGTACGAGTGTGTGTAGTGTGTGTAGTGGGTGAGTGGGTGAGTGGGTGACTATCACCTTGTTGGGCTGCACGATGCGACGGAGGTTCTCCATCCACTTGTCGCGCTCCCCCGCCGAGCGGCACGAGAAGCAGCGGCTGCCCGAGGACGTCACCACCTGCGGCAGCGGCGGCGGCGGCACAGGCAGAGGTAAAGGTTACCCAGGTAGCCCCACACAAAGAGGCAGTGAGTGAGCGAGTGAGCGAGTGAATGAGTGACTGAGTGAGTGAGTGAGCGAGTGAGTGAGTGAGCGACTGAGTGAGTGAGTGACTGAGTGAGTGAGTGAGGGAGTGACTGAGTGAGCGACTGAGGGAGTGACTGAGTGAGTGGGTGAGCAACTGAGCGAGTGAGTGAATGACTGAGGAGTGAGTGTGACTGAGCGAGCGAGCGACTGAGTGAGTGAGTGAGGGAGTGACTGAGTGAGTGAGTGACTGAGCGAGTGAGCTTGCTGGTGAGTGAGTGAGCGAGTGAGTGAACGAGTTAGCGAGCGAGTGGCTGAGCGAGTGAGCGAGTTACTGAACGAGTTAGCGAGCGAGTGGCTGAGCGAGTGACTGAGTGAGTGAGGGAGTGAGTGACTGAGTGAGTGAGCGACTGAGTGAGTGAGTGGCTGAGTGAGTGAGTGAGCGAGTGAGTGACTGAGTGAGTGACTGAGTGAGTGAGTGACTGAGTGAGTGAGGAGTGTGACTGAGCAAGCGAGCGACTGAGTGACTGAGTGAGTGACTGAGCGAGTGAGTGACTGAGTGAGTGAGGGAGTGAGTGAGTGACTGAGTGAGCGAGCGACTGAGTGAGTGAGTGTGACTGAGCGAGCGAGCGACTGAGTGACTGAGTGAGTGACTGAGCGAGTGAGTGACTGAGTGAGTGACTGAGCGAGTGAGCTTGCTGGTGAGTGAGTGAGCGAGTGAGTGAACGAGTTAGCGAGCGAGTGGCTGAGCGAGTGAGCGAGTTACTGAACGAGTTAGCGAGCGAGTGGCTGAGCAAGTGACTGAGTGAGTGAGGGAGTGAGTGACTGAGTGAGTGACTGAGTGAGTGAGCGACTGAGTGAGTGAGTGGCTGAGTGAGTGAGTGATTGAGTGAGCGAGTGAGTGACTGAGTGAGTGAGCGACTGAGCGAGTGACTGAGCGAGTGAGTGACTGAGTGAGTGAGCGACTGAGCGAGTGAGTGAGTGACAGGGTGAGTGAGTGACTGAGCGAGTGACTGAGTGAGTGAATGACTGAGCGAGTGAGTGAACGAGTTAGCGAGCGAGTGGCTGAGGGAGTGACTGAGTGAGTGAGGGAGTGAGTGAGTGACGGAGCGAGTGAGTGAGCGACTGAGTGAGTGAGTCAGCGACTGAGGGAGTGAGTGAGTGAGCGAGTGAGTGGTTAAGCAAGTGAGTGAGCGAGAGAGTGAGTGACTGATTAAGTGAGTGAGTGAGCGAGTGAGTGAGCGAGTGAGCGAGCGAGCGAGGGAGTAAGCGAGTGAGTGAGCAAGTGAGTGAGTGACTGAACGAGCGAGTGAGTGATTGAGCGAGCGAGTGGCTGAGTGAGTGAGCGAGGGAGCGAGGAAGCGAGTGAGTGACTGAGCGAGCGAGCGAGCGAGGGAGTAAGCGAAAGAGTGAGCAAGTGAGTGAGTGATTGAGCGAGCGAGTGAGCAATTGAGCGAGCGAGTGGCTGAGTGAGAGACTGAGCGAGCAAGTGAGCGAGTGACTGAGCGAGTGACTGAGCGAGTGACTGAGCGAGCGAGTGAGTGAGCGAGGGAGCGACTGAGTGAGCGAGTGACTAAGTGAGTGACTCAGTAAGCGAGTGAGTGAGCAAGTGAGCGAGTGAGTGACTGAGCGAGAGAGTGAGTGAGCAAGGGAGTGAGTGACTGAATGAGGGAGCGAGTGACTGAGCAAGTGAGTGACTAAGTGAGTGACTCAGTAAGCGAGTGAGTGAGCAAGTGAGCGAGTGAGTGACTGAGCGAGTGAGTGACTGAGCGAGCGAGTGACTGAGCGAGTGAGTGACTGAGCGAGTGAGTGACTGAGCGAGTGAATAAGTGACTAAGTGAGTGAGCGAGCGAATGACTGAGCGAGTGAGTGAGTGACTGAGTGAGTGACTGAGTGAGTGACTGAGTGAGCGAGTGACTGAGTGAGTGACTGAGTGAGTGACTGAGTGAGCGAGTGAGTGACTGAGTGAGTGACTGAGTGAGTGACTGAGTGAGCGAGTGGGTGACTGAGTGAGTGAGTGAATGAGTGAGTGACTGAGTGAGTGACTGAGTGACTGAGTGAGTGAGTGACTGAGTGAGTGAATGAGTGAGTGAATGAGTGAGTGACTGAGTGAGCGAGTGAGCGAGCGAGACCTCAAAGCAGTAGTCCTGCCCGATGATGGAGGGGTGGACGGGCCGAATTGAGACCTCCTGGTCGCGACTCAGGCCCAGGCTGTCTGCTGCCCCACTGGGGGAGAGCAGAGGCTCATGGGAAGCCTGGTGCAGTGGAACGCTGGACAACCTGCACACAGGCACAGGTAAAGCTCCCCCGTGTAGCCTCTAGCAAGGCTGTCGGGGCAAGTGCTGCTAGCAGCGAGCGGCAGTGTCTATGTACTACACACACACCACACAAACACACACCACAGACAAAGCTCCCCCGTGTAGCCTCTAGCAAGGCCGTAGCGAGCGGCAGCACAACCTATGAAGGCTCCCGGCACTGTGGCACGCACAGAGGGGGTGGGTGGCCAACACCACGCCCGGCCGCCTTTGTCTCCCCAGTGGCGATGTTTACACACCGCACCAGGTACTCATTTGAGGCTGAGTCGACCTAGGGGAGGCCCAGGACCGCTTCAGATAATCGTCACTGGCGGTGTTGGCCGTGAGCGGGGAATCGAACTCGGGTCGCCGGGTTCGTAGCGCAGCGTAGCGCTACCCGCTACACTACACACACCGCTCATACAGAGACACACACAGACACGGCTCTCCAAACGAAGACACACGCAGACAGACACCCGCACCACGGACACACACGTTCAAGTGCGCGCGTGCGTGTACGTTTGTGTGCGTGTACGTGCGTGTGTACGTGCTTGTGTGTGCGTGTACGTTTGTGTGCATGTACGTGTGTGTACGTGCGTGTACGTGTGTGCATGCGTGTACGTGCGTGTGTGTGTGCATGTGTGTACGTGTGTGTGTGTGTCTGTGTGTGTATGTCTGTGTGTGTGTCTGTGTGTGTGTGTCTGTGTGTCTGTGTGTGTCTGTCTGTGTGTGTCTGTGTGTGTATGTATGTGTGTGTGTGGCTGTGTGTGTATGTGTGACTATGTGTGTGTGTATGTGTGACTATGTGTGTGTGTATGTGTGACTATGTGTGTGTGTATGTGTGACTATGTGTGTGTGTATGTGTGACTATGTGTGTGTGTCTGTGTGACTATGTTTGTGTGTGTATGTGTGTGTATGTGTGTGTGTGTATGTGTGACTATGTGTGTGTGTGTATGTGTGACTATGTTTGTGTGTGTATGTGTGTGTATGTGTGACTATGTTTGTGTGTGTCTGTGTGTGTGACTATGTGTGTGTGTGGCTGTGTGTGTATGTGTGACTGTGTGTGTGTGTATGTGTGACTGTGTGTGTGTGTGTATGTGTGACTATGTGTGTGTGTGTCTGTGTGTGTATGTGTGTGTGACTACGTGTGTGTGACTACGTGTGTGTGACTACGTGTGTGTGTGCCCACACCTGTCGGGCTCGGGGCCACGCAGGGAGACACGGAAGCTCGGGTTGCGCTCCACTTTGCTGCTCTTGCGCCTCTTCAGGGACGAGCGCAGCTTCATCAGGCCCTGGTGGGTGGGTGGGTGGGGAAGAGGGTGGGTGGGGGAGAGGGTGGGTGGGTGAGAGGGTGGGTGGGTGGGGGAGAGGGTGGGTGGGTGAGAGCATGAGTGGGTGAGAGGGTGGGTGGGTGAGCGGGTGGGTGGGTAAGAGCGTGAGTGGGTGGGTAAAGAGGGTGGGTGGGTGAGTGGGTGGGTGAGAGGGTGGGTGGGTGAGAATGTGAGTGGGTGGGTGAGAGGGTGAGTGGGTGGGTGGGTGGGTGAGTGGGTGGGTGAGAGCGTGAGTGGGTGGGTGAGAGGGTGAGTGAGTGGGTGGGTGGGTGAGAGCGTGAGTGGGTGGGTGAGAGGGTGAGTGGGTGGGTAAGAGCGCGAGTGGGTGAGTGGGTGGGTGAGAGGGTGGGTGGGTGAGAGCGTGAGTGGGTGGGTGAGAGGGTGGGTGGGTGAGAGCGTGAGTGGGTGGGTGAGAGGGTGAGTGGGTGGGTGAGAGGGTGAGTGGGTGGGTGGGTGGGTGAGTGGGTGGGTGGGTGAGAGCGTGAGTGGGTGGGTGAGAGGTAGGGGAGAGAGTTGGGTGAGTGTGGGGGATTGTAACTTGTCCACCTGGTCATCACGTGACCTGCGCAGCGTTGTACATCTGCCCAACTCACCTTCGCTGCGGCTGAGGAGTGGTCGTGATGTACCGGGCTCCAGTCTCCAAGCACGCTGACCTGCCTGCGACCCAAACCATCTGCCGCACAAAGACAAAGGTCCCCCATGTAGCCCTCGGGGCAAGGGCGGCAACGCCAGGGGTCGGCGCATCCACACAACATCGTGGATATGCACGCCGGGTGTAAGCAAGGACATCCTGCTGGACTACGTAGTGATGGAACAGCGGATGCGGCCCCATGTCCCACCGAAGACGAACATCCGTGGAGGGATGCAGGCAAGGCCGATGAGTCAGACGCCTTCTATGACCTCCTGTCACAGGCGCTGGCTAAAGTGGCCCCTTGGGATAGAGTCGTCTTGTTGGGCGACTTCAATGCCCGAGTTGGTCATGATGCCGGCACTTGGTCTGGAGTGATTGGAGGGCATGGGCCAGATCAGCCCAATGACAACGGTAGGAGGCCGCTAGATTTTAGTGCAGCCCATGGGCTTGTAATTACCAACACGCTGTTCCGGCATCGGCGCATCCACACAACATCACGGGTGCATGCCGGGTCCAAGCAAGAACATCTGCTGGACTACGTAGTGACGGACCAGCGGATGCGGGCCCATGTCCTTGACACCAGGACCTACCGTGGAGCTGATCTGCCCACTGACCATCGACTTGTCATCTGTAAGATGCGCCTGCCATCCTTCCACTCCGGTGGTGGTGGGCGTACACCCAGGACCCCATTCAAACCCACAGTGGCCTGGTCTCAGCTAGCTGATGATAGCTGCGGCTGGGGTTGACAGAGGAGCTGTTCTGGCTGGCTGAGAGAAGGCGACAGGCCCACTGCCGCCATCTACAGCAATCTACAGCAGAAGTGGGGAAAATCCGCCGGCTAACATCATCACCACGCCTCGCCGAAGACAAGCAGTTCCAGCCCGTCGCATTAGGGGCGAGTTAATTCAACGTTTGACCAAATATCACGGGCTGATTTTTTAAGTTGATGATTTTGTATGGCCCGTGAATGATGTTTTATAAATATCCAAATGGCCCTTGGCAGAAAAAAAAGGTTCCCAGCTACCTGGGCTACGCAAAGCAGCACCTGTGAAGGCTTCCGGCAACTGCGGCACACTGAACGGGGTGGTCAACACCACCACCACCACCGCCTTTGTGTCTCTTACACACACAGACACACACACACACACACACGTACACACACACGTACACACAGACACACACAGACACACGTACACACACAGACACACGTACACACACACACACGTACACACACACACGTACACACACGTACACACACAGACACAAACACACGTACACACAGACACACGTACACACACACACGTACACACACAGAGAGAGAAAGAGAGGGCCAGGCACAGCCCTGGTACGGGTCACCAAGTGCCAGTGGAAAATAGAGAAAATGTCCGAGCCCCCAGCAGCTCCGTCGTCACCGTAGTCATCGATGGCCTCCAAGGGGTCGCTGATGGCCCTGCGCAGAATCCCTGAGCGGTTGTTGCCTGGGCGAAACTGTCGGGGGAGGGGAGACACGGAGACACGGAGACACGGGGGGTGAGACACGGAGACACGGGGGGTGAGACACGGAGACACGGGGGGTGAGACACGGAGACACGGGGGGTGAGACACGGAGACACGGGGGGTGAGACACGGAGACACGGGGGGTGAGACACGGAGACACGGGGGGTGAGACACGGAGACACGAGGGGGGGTGAGACACGGAGACACGGGGGGTGAGACACGGAGACACGAGGGGGGTGGGGGAGAGACACGGGGGGTGAGACACGGAGACACGGGGGGTGAGACACGGAGACATGGGGGGTGAGACACGGAGACACGGGGGGGGGGGGGGGAGAGACACGGGGGGTGAGACACGGAGACACGGGGGGTGAGACACGGAGACACGGGGGGTGAGACACGGAGACACGGGGGGTGAGACACGGAGACACGGGGGGTGAGACACGGGGGGTGAGACACGGAGACACGGGGGGTGAGACACGGAGACACGAGGGGGGGTGAGACACGGAGACACGGGGGGTGAGACACGGAGACACGAGGGGGGTGGGGGAGAGACACGGGGGGTGAGACACGGAGACACGGGGGGTGAGACACGGAGACATGGGGGGTGAGACACGGAGACACGGGGGGGGGGGGGGGAGAGACACGGGGGGTGAGACACGGAGACACGGGGGGTGAGACACGGAGACACGGGGGGTGAGACACGGAGACACGGGGGGTGAGACACGGAGACACGGGGGGTGAGACACGGGGGGTGAGACACGGAGACACGGGGGGTGAGACACGGAGACACGAGGGGGGGTGAGACACGGAGACACGGGGGGTGAGACACGGAGACACGAGGGGGGTGGGGGAGAGACACGGGGGGTGAGACACGGAGACACGGGGGGTGAGACACGGAGACATGGGGGGTGAGACACGGAGACACGGGGGGGGGGGGGGGAGAGACACGGGGGGTGAGACACGGAGACACGGGGGGTGAGACACGGAGACACGGGGGGTGAGACACGGAGACACGGGGGGTGAGACACGGAGACACGGGGGGTGAGACACGGGGGGTGAGACACGGAGACACGGGGGGTGAGACACGGAGACACGGGGGGTGAGACACGGAGACACGGGGGGTGAGACACGGAGACACGGGGGGTGAGACACGGAGACATGGGGGGTGAGACACGGAGACACGGGGGGTGAGACACGGAGACACGGGGGGGGGGGGGAGAGACACGGAGACATTTTGTAGTAGTGTAGTAGGTAGTGTAGTAGTGTAGTAGGTAGTGTAGTAGTAGGTAGTATAGTAGGTAGTGTAGTAGTGTAGTAGGTAGTGTAGTAGTGTAGTAGGTAGTGTAGTAGTAGGTAGTGTAGTAGGTAGTGTAGTAGGTAGTGTAGTAGTGTAGTAGGTAGTGTAGTAGGTAGTGTAGTAGTGTAGTAGGTAGTGTAGTAGGTAATGTAGTAGTGTAGTAGGTAGTGTAGTAGTTAGTGTAGTAGGTAGTGTAGTAGTGTGGTAGGTAGTGTAGTAGGTGGTGTAGTAGTGTAGTAGGTAGTGTAGTAGGTAGTGTAGTAGTGTAGTAGGTAGCGTAGTAGTGTAGTAGGTAGTGTAGTAGTGTAGTAGGTAGTGTAGTAGTGTAGTAGGTAGTGTAGTAGTGTAGTAGGTAGTGTAGTAGTGTAGTAGGTAGTGTAGTAGTAGGTAGTGTAGTAGTGTAGTAGGTAGTGTAGTAGGTAGTGTAGTGGTGTAGTAGGTAGTGTAGTAGGTAGTGTAGTAGTGTAGTAGGTAGTGTAGTAGTAGGTAGTGTAGTAGGTAGTGTAGTAGGTAGTGTAGTAGTGTAGTAGGTAGTGTAGTAGGTAATGTAGTAGTGTAGTAGGTAGTGTAGTAGTGTAGTAGTTAGTGTAGTAGGTAGTGTAGTAGTGTGGTAGGTAGTGTAGTAGGTGGTGTAGTAGTGTAGTAGGTAGTGTAGTAGGTAGTGTAGTAGTGTAGTAGGTAGTGTAGTAGTGTAGTAGGTAGTGTAGTAGTGTAGTAGGTAGTGTAGTAGTAGGTAGTGTAGTAGGTAGCGTAGTAGTGTAGTAGGTAGTGTAGTAGGTAGTGTAGTAGTGTAGTAGGTAGCGTAGTAGGTAGTGTAGTAGTAGGTAGTGTAGTAGTGTAGTAGGTAGTGTAGTAGGTAGTGTAGTACTGTAGTAGGTAGTGTAGTAGTACGTAGTGTAGTAGTGTAGTAGGTAGTATAGTATTAGGTAGTGTAGTAGGTAGTGTAGTAGTGTAGTAGGTAGCGTAGTAGTGTAGTAGGTAGTGTAGTAGTGTAGTAGGTAGTGTAGTAGTGTAGTAGGTAGTGTAGTAGTAGGTAGTGTAGTAGGTAGTGTAGTAGTGTAGTAGGTAGTGTAGTAGTAGTGTAGTAGGTAGTGTAGTAGTGTAGTAGGTAGTGTAGTAGTGTAGTAGGTAGTGTAGTAGTGTAGTAGGTAGTGTAGTAGTGTAGTAGGTAGTGTAGTAGTGTAGTAGGTAGTGTAGTAGTGTAGTAGGTAGCGTAGTAGGTAGTGTAGTAGTGTAGTAGGTAGTGTAGTAGTAGGTAGTGTAGTAGGTAGTGTAGTAGTGTAGTAGGTAGTGTAGTAGTAGTGTAGTAGGTAGTGTAGTAGTGTAGTAGGTAGTGTAGTAGTGTAGTAGGTAGTGTAGTAGTGTAGTAGGTAGTGTAGTAGTGTAGTAGGTAGTGTAGTAGTGTAGTAGGTAGTGTAGTAGGTAGTGTAGTAGTGTAGTAGGTGGTGTAGTAGGTAGTGTAGTAGGTGGTGTAGTAGGTAGTGTAGTAGTGTAGTAGGTAGTGTAGTAGGTAGTGTAGTAGTAGGTAGTGTAGTAGTGTAGTAGGTAGTGTAGTAGGTAGTGTAGTAGTGTAGTAGTAGGTAGTGTAGTAGTGTAGTAGGTAGTGTAGTAGTGTAGTAGGTAGTGTAGTAGTGTAGTAGGTAGTGTAGTAGTGTAGTAGGTAGTGTAGTAGTGTAGTAGGTAGTGTAGTAGTGTAGTAGGTAGTGTAGTAGTGCAGTAGGTAGTGTAGTAGTGTAGTAGGTAGCGTAGTGCGTGGCACCTGCTGGTCCCACATGAAGCCATACTGCTCCTCCCACTGTGGGGGATTGGCCCCTTGGCGGAACGACACTCTGTGCTGTCCAGCTGGCTTCACATCTACCGTCAACATCACCATCATCAATAACATCACAACCATCAACATCATCATCAACATTAACATCAACATTAACATCACCACCATCAACATTAACATCACCACCATCAATAACATCACAACCATCAACATCATCATCAACATTAACATCACCACCATCAACAACATCAAAACCATCAACAACATCACCACCATCAATAACATCACAACCATCAACATCATCATCATCAACAACATCAAAACCATCAACAACATCACCACCATCAATAACATCACAACCATCAACATCATCAACATCACCACCATCAACATCATCAACATTAACATCAACATTAACATCACAACCATCAACATCATCAACATCAATAACATCACAACCATCAACACCATCAACATCAACATCACCACCGTCAACATCAACACCATCAATAACATCACAACCATCAACATCATCAACATTAACATCACCACCATCAACAACATCAACATTAACATCACCACCATCAACATCACCACCATCAACAACATCAACATCATCAACATCAACAACATCATCACCATCACCACCATCAACAACATCAACATCATCACCATCATCACCATCAACATCAACAACATCATCACCATCACCACCATCAACAACATCATCACCATCAACATCAACAACATCATCACCATCACCACCATCAACAACATCATCACCATCATCACCATCAACATCATCAACAACATCACCATCATCAACATCAACAACATCATCACCATCACCAACATCAACATCATCACCATCATCAACATCATCAACAACATCACCATCAACATCATCAACATCATCAACGTCATCACCATCAACAACATCAACACCATCAACATCACCACCATCATCATCAACATCATCACCATCAACATCACCATCAACATCACCATCAACATCACCACCATCAACAACATCAACATCATCACCATCAACAACATCAACATCATCACCATCAACAACATCATCACCATCAACAACATCACCACCATCAACATCATCACCATTAACATCAACATCATCAACATCATCAACATCAACACCATCAACATCACCACCATCATATAATCAACATCACCACCATCAACATCACCACTATCGACATCAACATCACCACTATCGACATCAACATCACCACCATCAATATCAATAACATCATCACGACCATCAACATCATCACCACCATCAACATCAAAAACATCATCACCACCATCAACATCACTACCATCAACAACACCATCAACAACATCACCACCATCACGCCACCATCAACATCACCATTAACGTCACCATCCGACATCACCATCAACGTCAACATCACCAAGCCACCAAATGGCACTATCGGGCATCATGACACCCAGACCCAGGGCTTGAACCCAGACTCTCAGTGTCTGTGACACGGCCATTGTGAACCCCCTGAGAGAGACACCCAGACCCAGGGCTTGAACCCAGACTCTCAGTGTCTCTGACACAGCCAGGGGAGACAAAGGCGGCCGGGCGTGGTGCTGGCCACCCACCCCTCTGTGAGTGCCAAAGTGCCGGGAGCCTTCATAGGCGCTGCTGCTACTCGCTGCGAACAGCACTTGCCCCTACAGCCCTGCTAGAGGCTTCCTGGGGGAGCTTTGTCTGTGTAACAGCACTTGCCCCTACAGCCCTGCTGGAGGCTACCTGGGGGAGCTTTGTCTGTGTGTGGTGTGTGTAGTACATAGACACTGCTGCTATTCGCGAGCAAACAGCACTTGCCCCTACAGCCCTGCTGGAGGCTACCTGGGGGAGCTTTGTCTGTGTGTGGTGTGTGTTGTACATAGACACTGCTGCTACTCGCTAGCTAACAGCACTTGCCCCTACAGCCCTGCTAGAGGCTACCTGGGGGAGCTTTGTCTGTGTGTGGTGTGTGTAGTACATAGACACTGCTGCTGCTACTCGCTAGCTAACAGCACTTGCCCCTACAGCCTACTAGAGGCTACCTGGGGGAGCTTTGTCTGTGTGTGGTGTGTGTAGTACATAGACACTGCTGCTGCTACTCGCTAGCTAACAGCACTTGCCCCTACAGCCTACTAGAGGCTACCTGGGGGAGCTTTGTCTGTGTGTGGTGTGTGTTGTACATAGACACTGCTGCTGCTATTCGCGAGCAAACAGCACTTGCCCCTACAGCCCTGCTGGAGGCTACCTGGGGGAGCTTTGTCTGTGTGTGGTGTGTGTAGTACATAGACACTGCTACTCGCTAGCTAACAGCACTTGCCCCTACAGCCCTGCTAGAGGCTACCTGGGGTAGCTTTGTCTGTGTGTGGTGTGTGTAGTACATAGACACTGCTGCTGCTACTCGCTAGCTAACAGAACTTGCCCCTACAGCCTACTAGAGGCTACCTGGGGGAGCTTTGTCTGTGTGTGGTGTGTGTAGTACATAGACACTGCTGCTGCTACTCGCTAACAGCACTTGCCCCTACAGCCTGCTAGAGGCTACCTGGGGGAGCTTTGTCTGTGTGTGGTGCACAGGCGCTGCCCTCTGCACTTGGGGGACACGTGACGTCACAGCAAGGAAGGGGCGGCCACCAACCCCACGTGACGACGTCAGGGGAGTGACGTCAGGGGAGTGAAGAGTAATCAAGTGGTGAGGAGTGGTGAGTAATGAAGTGGTGAGGAGTGGTGAGTAATGAAGTGGTGAGTAATGAAGTGGTGAGGAGTGAAGTGGTGAGGAGTGGTGAGGGGTGGTGAGGAGTGGTGAGTGAAGTGGTGAGGAGTGGTGAGGAGTGGTGAGTAGTGAAGAGTAATGAAGTGGTGAGGAGTGGTGAGGAGTGATGAGTAATAAAGTGGTGAGGAGTGGTGAGGAGTGGTGAGGAGTGAAGAGTAATGAAGTGGTGAGGAGTGGTGAGGAGTGGTGGTGAGGAGTGGTGGTGGTGAGGAGTGGTGAGTAGTGGTGAGGAGTGGTGAGTAGTGGTGAGGAGTGGTGGTGAGTCTCACCCTGAGTGGTGTCTGTGCCGTGGTAGAAGGCGTGGTGAGGAGTGGTGAGTAGTGGTGAGGAGTCTCACCGTGAGTGGTGAGTAGTGGTGAGGAGTGGTGGTGAGGAGTGGTGAGTAGTGGTGAGGAGTGGTGGTGGTGAGGAGTAGTGGTGAGGAGTCTCACCGTGAGTGGTGTCTGTGCCGTGGTAGAAGGCGTGGTGAGGAGTGGTGAGGAGTGGTAGTGGTGAGGAGTGGTGAGGAGTGGTGGTGAGTAGTGGTGAGTGGTAGTGGTGGTGAGTCTCACCCTGAGTGTTGTCTGTGCCGTGATAGAAGGCGTGGTGAGTAGTGGTGGTGGTGGTGAGGAGTGGTGGTGAGTAGTGGTGGTGGTGGTGAGTAGTGGTGGTGGTGAGTAGTGGTGGTGAGTAGTGGTGAGTGGTGGTGAGTCTCACCGTGAGTGCTGTCTGTGCCGTGATAGAAGGCGTGGTGAGTAGTGGTGAGTAGTGGTGAGTAGTGGTGGTGAGTAGTGGTGAGTAATGGTGGTGAGTAGTGGTGAGTAGTGGTGAGTAGTGGTGAGTAGTGGTGGTGAGTCTCACCCTGAGTGGTGTCTGTGCCGTGATAGAAGGCGTGGTGAGTAGTGGTGGTGGTGAGGAGTGGTGGTTGTGAGTAGTGGTGAGTAGTGGTGAGGAGTAGTGGTGAGTGGTGGTGAGTAGTGGTGAGGAGTGGTGAGTAGTGGTGAGTCTCATCCTGAGTGCTGTCTGTGCCGTGATAGAAGGCGTGGTGAGTGGTGGTGAGTAGTGGTGGTGAGTAGTGGTGAGTAGTGGTGGTGGTGAGGAGTGGTGGTGAGTAGTGGTGAATAGTGGTGAGTAGTGGTGAGGAGTGGTGGTGAGTGGTGGTGAGTAGTGGTGAGTAGTGGTGAGTAGTGGTGGTGGTGAGGAGTGGTGGTGAGTAGTGGTGGTGAGTAGTGGTGGTGAGTCTCACCCTGAGTGTTGTCTGTACCGTGATAGAAGGCGTGGTGAGTGGTGGTGGTGAGTAGTGGTGAGGAGTGGTGAGTAGTGGTGGTGAGTAGTGGTGAGGAGTGGTGAGTCTCACCCTGAGTGTTGTCTGTGCCGTGATAGAAGGCGTGGTGAGTAGTGGTGGTGGTGAGTGGTGGTGAGTGGTGGTGAGTAGTGGTGGTGGTGAGTAGTGGTGGTGAGTAGTGGTGAGTAGTGGTGAGTCTCACCGTGAGTGCTGTCTGTGCCGTGATAGAAGGCGTGGTGAGTAGTGGTGAGTAGTGGTGGTGGTGAGGAGTGGTGGTGAGTAGTGGTGAGTAGTGGTGAGTCTCACCCTGAGTGCTGTCTGTGCCGTGATAGAAGGCGTGGTGAGTAGTGGTGGTGAGTAGTGGTGGTGAGGAGTGGTGAGTGGTGGTGGTGAGGAGTGGTGAGGAGTGGTGGTGAGTAGTGGTGAGTAGTGGTGAGTGGTAGTGGTGGTGAGTCTCACCCTGAGTGTTGTCTGTGCCGTGATAGAAGGCGTGGTGAGTAGTGGTGAGTAGTGGTGGTGAGTAGTGGTGAGGAGTGGTGGTGAGTAGTGGTGAGTCTCACCCTGAGTGTTGTCTGTGCCGTGATAGAAGGCGTGGTGAGGAGTGGTGAGGAGTGGTGAGGAGTGGTGGTTAGTGGTGGTGAGTAGTGGTGAGTAGTGGTGGTGAGTAGTGGTGAGTAGTGGTGGTGGTGAGGAGTGGTGGTGAGTAGTGGTGGTGAGTAGTGGTGAGTGGTGGTGAGTGGTGGTGAGTCTCACCCTGAGTGCTGTCTGTGCCGTGATAGAAGGCGTGGTGAGTAGTGGTGGTGGTGAGGAGTGGTGGTGAGTAGTGGTGGTGAGTAGTGGTGAGTGGTGGTGAGTCTCACCCTGAGTGCTGTCTGTGCCGTGATAGAAGGCGTGGTGAGTGGTGGTGAGTAGTGGTGAGTAGTGGTGGTGAGGAGTGGTGGTGAGTGGTGGTCTCACCCTGAGTGTTGTCTGTGCCGTGATAGAAGGCGTGGTGAGTAGTGGTGAGGAGTGGTGGTGAGTAGTGGTGAGTGGTGAGTGGTGGTGAGTCTCACCCTGAGTGTTGTCTGTGCCGTGATAGAAGGCGTGGTGAGTGGTGGTGGTGAGTAGTGGTGGTGGTGAGTAGTGGTGAGTGGTGAGTAGTGGTGAGTCTCACCCTGAGTGCTGTCTGTGCCGTGATAGAAGGCGTGGTGAGTAGTGGTGGTGGTGAGGAGTGGTGGTGAGTAGTAGTGGTGAGTAGTGGTGAGTAGTAGTGGTGAGTAGTCTCACCCTGAGTGCTGTCTGTGCCGTGATAGAAGGCGTGGTCAGAGGCCGCGCGCTGGAACGCCGCGCGCCGGCTTCGAGCCGCAGACCACGAGGCGGAGGACGACATCGCGGACAGCGACTCACTGGGACAGCGTCCCACTGGGATAGTGTCCCACTCACTGGGACAGCGTCCCACTGGGATAGTGTCCCACTCACTGGGACAGCGTCCCACCCACTGGGACAGCGTCTCACTCACTCAGACAGCGACTCACTGGGACAGCGTCCCACTCACTCACTGGGACAGCGTCCCACTCACTCACTGGGACAGTGTCCCACTGGACAGCGTCCCACTCACTGGGACAGCGTCCCACTCACTCACTGGGACAGCGTCTCACTGGGATAGTGTCCCACTCACTGGGACAGCGTCTCACTCACTCACTGGGACAGCGTCTCACTCACTCAGACAGCGACTTAGTGGGACAGCGTCCCACTGGGATAGTGTCCCACTCACTGGGACAGCGTCTCACTCACTCACTGGGACAGCGTCTCACTCACTCAGACAGCGACTCACTGGGACAGCGTCCCACTGGGATAGTGTCCCACTCACTCACTGGGACAGCGTCCCACTCACTCAGACAGCGACTCACTGGGATAGTGTCCCACTGGGACAGCGTCCCACTCACTGGGACAGCGTCCCACTCACTCAGACAGCAACTCACTGGGACAGCGTCCCACTCACTGGGACAGCGTCCCACTGGGACAGCGTCTCACTCACTCACTGGGACAGCGTCCCACTCACTCACTCAGACAGCGACTCACCCACTCACTGGGACAGCGTCTCACTCACTCAGACAGCGACTCACTGGGACAGTGTCCCACTCACTGGGACAGCGTCCCACTCACTCACTGGGACAGCGTCCCACTGGGACAGCGTCTCGCTCACTCACTGGGACAGCGTCCCACTCACTCACTCAGACAGCGACTCACCCACTCACTGGGACAGCGTCTCACTCACTCAGACAGCGACTCACTGGGACAGTGTCCCACTCACTGGGACAGCGTCCCACTCACTCACTGGGACAGCGTCCCACTGGGACAGCGTCTCGCTCACTCACTGAGACAGCGTCTCACTCACTCACTGGGACAGCGTCTCACTCACTGGGACAGCGTCTCACTCACTCACTGGGACAGCGTCTCACTCACTCACTGGGACAGCGTCTCACTGGGACAGCGTCTCACTCACTGGGACAGCGTCTCACTCACTCACTGGGACAGCGTCTCACTCACTCACTGGGACAGCGTCTCACTCACTGGGACAGCGTCTCACTCACTCACTGGGACAGCGTCTCACTCACTCAGACAGCGTCCCACTCACTGGGACAGCGTCCCACTCACTCACTGGGACAGCGTCCCACTCACTCAGACAGCGTCTCACTGGGACAGCGTCTCACTCACTGGGACAGCGACTCACTCACTCACTGGGACAGCGTCTCACTCACTCACTGGGACAGCGTCTCACTCACTGGAACAGCGTCTCACTGGGACAGCGTCTCACTCACTCAGACAGCGACTCACTCACTCGGACAGCGACTCACTCACTCACTGGGACAGCGACCCACTGGGACAGCGTCTCACTCACTCAGACAGCGACTCACTCACTCGGACAGCGACTCACTCACTCAGACAGCGTCTCACTGGGACAGCGTCTCACTCAGACAGCGTCCCACTGGGACAGCGTCCCACTCACTCACTCACTGGGACAGCGTCCCACTCACTCAGACAGCGTCTCACTGGGACAGCGACTCACTCAGACAGCGTCCCACTCACTCACTGGGACAGCGTCCCACTCATTCAGACAGCGACTCAATGGGACAGCGTCGCACTGGGACAGCGTCCCACTCACTGGGACAGCGTCCCACTCACTCACTGGGACAGCGTCTCACTCACTCAGACAGCGACTCACTGGGACAGCGTCCCACTCACTCAGACAGCGACTCACTGGGACAGCGTCTCACTCACTCACTCAGACAGCGTCTCACTGGGACAGCGACTCACTGGGACAGCGTCTCACTCACTCAGACAGCGACTCACTCACTCAGACAGCGACTCACTGGGGCTGACTGACTGAGAAACTGACTGAGAAACTGACTGACTGGATGGCTTAGAAACTGACTGACTGAGAAACTGACTGGATGGCTTAGAAACTGACTGAGAAACTGACTGTCTGAGAAACTGACTGAGAGTCTGCCTGACTGAGAGACTGCCTGACTGAGAGACTGCCTGACTGACTGAGAAACTGACTGTCTGATAAACTGCCTGAGAAACTGACTGACTGTCTGATAAACTGACTGTCTGATAAACTGACTGTCTGCGAAACTGACTGGATGGCTTAGAAACTGACTGACTGAGAAATTGACTGACTGAGAAACTGACTGTCTGAGAAACTGACTGGATGGCTTAGAAACTGACTGAGAAACTGACTGTCTGAGAAACTGACTAAGAGACTGCCTGACTGAGAGACTGCCTGACTGACTGAGAAACTGACTGTCTGATAAACTGACTGACTGAGAAACTGACTGTCTGAGAAACTGACTGGATGGCTTAGAAACTGACTGAGAAACTGACTGTCTGAAAAACTGACTGACTGAGAAACTGACTGACTGTCTGATAAACTGACTGGATGTCTGAGAAACTGACTGTCTGAGAAACTGACTGACTGAGAAACTGACTGACTGTCTGATAAACTGACTGACTGAGAAACTGACTGGATGTCTGAGAAACTGACTGACTGAGAAACTGACTGAGAGACTGCCTGACTGACTGAGAAACTGACTGTCTGATAAACTAACTGACTGAGAAACTGACTGATAAACTGACGGACTGTCTGATAAACTGACTGACTGTCTGATAAACTGACTGACTGAGAAACTGACTGAGAAACTGAATGGCGGGATGGCTTAGAAACTGACTGACTGACTAGCTGACTGTCTGATAAACTGTCTGAGAAACTGACTGGATGGCTTAGAAACTGACTGATAAACTGACTGTCTGAGAAACTGACTGTCTGAGAAACTGACTGGATGGCTTAGAAACTGACTGATAAACTGACTGGCTGGATGGCTTAGAAACTGACTGACTGAGAAACTGACTTAGAGACTGTCAAGATGGGCATGCAATCTGATAAGACTGCCACGCGTGTTACTAGAACAACAGAGATTAGTACTAGTAGCAGTATCACTACGTAGTTACCACTAGGGGTAGTGATACTGCTGGTAGTGGTACTACTGGTAGTGCTATCAGTAGTAGTATCGGTATCAGTAGTATCAGGAATAAAAGTCTTAAAAGTGGTATCAGGAGTAGTATCAGTAGTGGTAGTATCAGTATGAGTAGTAGTATCAGTAGTAGTATCAGTAATAGTATCAGTATGAGTAGTAGTAGTCTCAGTAGTATCAGTATAAGTAGTAGTATCAGTAGTAGTATCAGTAGTAGTAGTATCAGTATAAGTAATAGTATCAGTATAAGTAATAGTATCAGTATAAGTAGTAGTATCAGTATAAGTAATAGTATCAGTAGTATCAGTACAAGTAGTAGTATCAGTATAAGTAGTAGTATCAGTATAAGTAGTAGTATCAGTATAAGTAATAGTATCAGTAGTAGTATCAGTACAAGTAATAGTATCAGTATAAGTAGTAGTCTCAGTAGTAGTATCAGTATAAGTATCAGTATAAGTAGTAGTATCAGTATAAGTAGTAGTATCAGTATAAGTAGTAGTATCAGTACAAGTAATAGTATCAGTATAAGTAGTAGTATCAGTAGTAGTATCAGTACAAGTAATAGTATCAGTATTGATCCTAAAAGGTGCTCTATGGCTGGAAATGCATGGTGCACTGAGGGTGGACTATAAGGACTAAGGGTGGACTATAATGACTGAGGGTGGACTATATCAACGGACGGTGGACTATAATGGCTGAGGGTGGACTATAAGGACTGAGGGTGGACTATAATGACTAAGGGTGGACTATAAGGACTGAGGGTGGACTATAATGACTAAGGGTGGACTATAAGGAGTGAGGGTGTACTATAATGACTGAGGGTGGACTATAAGGACTGAGGGTGGACTATAAGGACTGAGGGTGAACTATAAGGAGTTAGGGTGGACTATAATGACTAAGGGTGGACTATAAGGACTGAGGGTGGACTATAAGGACCGAGGGTGGACTATAAGGACTGAGGGTGGACTATAATGACTGAGGGTGGACTATATGAACGGATGGTGGACTATATCGACTGACGGTGGACTATATGGACTGAGGGTGAACTATAAGGACTGAGGGTGGACTATAAGGACTGATGGTGGACTATATCGACTGAGGGTGGACTATAAGGACTGAGGGTGGACTATATGCACGGATGGTGGACTGAGGGTGGACTGAGGGTGGACTATATGAACGGATGGTGTACTATATGGACTGATGGTGGACTATATGAACGGATGGTGGACTATATGGACTGATGGTAGACTGAGGGTGGACTATATGAATGGAGGGTGGACTATAAGGACTGAGGGTGGACTATAAGGACTGAGGGTGGACTATAAGGACGGAGGGTGGACTATATGAATGGATGGTGGACTGAGGGTGGACTATATGAACGGATGGTGGACTATATGGACTGATGGTGGACTGAGGGTGGACTATATGAACGGATGGTGGACTATATGGACTGAGGGTGGACTATATGAACGGATGGTGGACTCTATCGACTGAGGGTGGACTATAATGACTGAGGGTGGACTATAAGGACTGAGGGTGGACTATATGGACTGAGGGTGGACTAAAAAGACTGAGGGTGGACTATAATGACTGAGGGTGGACTATATGAACGGAGGATGGACTATAAGGACTGAGGGTGGACTATAAGGACTGAGGGTGGACTATATATGGACCAAGGTTAACACACATAACAATAAATTAGCAGACTTCACGCATATATTAACATAAATCAACGCTTGTTCGCATATATTACCATAAATTATCAGACGTCACGCACATATTACCATAAATTAGCATACAAGGGCACGAATTAACAGTGCTTAGCGCGCGCTCCATCCAGATTCCCGTGTGACATTAAAATAAGTTACCCTCATTAGCATAAGTCTCAGCGACATCGCCACAAGCTTAGCCGAGATTACCATGAGTTTACCAGGATTGCCATACGATAGCCAAGATTACCATGGGTTTACCAGGATTACCATACGTTAGCCGAGATTACCATGGGTTTACCAGGATTACCATACGATAGCCGAGATTACCATGGGTTTACCAAAATTACCACACGTTAACTGAGATTACCATGGGTTTACCAGGATTACCACGTTAACTGAGATTACCATGAGTTTACCAGAATTACCATACGTTAACAGAGATTACCATGAGTTTACCAAGATTACCACACGTTAACAGAGATTACCATGAGTTTACCAGGATTACCATACGTTAGCCGAGATTACCATGGGTTTACCAGGATTACCATACGTTAACTGATATTACCATGGGTTTACCAGCATTACCATACGTTAACTGAGATTACCATGGGTTTACCAGGATTACCACACGTTAACAGAGATTACCATGAGTTTACCAGGATTACCATACGTTAGCCAAGATTACCATGAGTTTACCAGGATTACCATGAGTTTACCAGGATTACCATAAGTTAACTGAGATCACCATGGGTTTACCAGGATTACCATACGATAGCCGAGATTACCATGGGTTTACCAAGATTACCATGGGTTTACCAGGATTACCATACGTTAACTGAGATTACCATGAGTTTACCAGGATTACCATACGTTAACTAATTACCATGGGTTTACCAGGATTACCATATGTTAGCCAAGATTACCATGAGTTTACCAGGATTACCATGCGTTTACCAGGATTACCATACGTTAACTGAGATTACCATGGGTTTACCAGGATTACCATACGATAGCCGAGATTACCATGAGTTTACCAGGAGTACCATACGTTAGCCAAGATTACCATGAGTTTACCAGGATTACCATACGTTAACAGAGATTACCATGGGTTTACCAGGATTACCACGTTAACAGAGATTACCATGAGTTTATCAGGATTACCATATGTTAACAGAGATTACCAGGATTACCATACGTTAACAGAGATTACCATGGGTTTACCAAGATTACCACACGTTAACTGAGATTACCATGGGTTTACCAAGATTACCACACGTTAACTGATATTACCATGAGTTTACCAGGATTACCATATGTTAAGCAATAATACCATGAGTTTACCAAGATTACCATATGTTAACTGAGATCACCATGCGTTTACCAGGATTACCATACGTTAACAGAGATTACCAGGATTACCATATGTTAACAGAGATTACCATGGGTTTACCAGAATTACCATACATTAACTGAGATCACCATGGGTTTACCAGGATTACCACACGTTAACAGAGATTACCATGAGTTTACCAGGATTACCATACGTTAACTGATATTACCATGAGTTTACCAGGATTACCGTATGTTGACTGAGATTACCATGAGTTTACCAGTACGTATTACCATATGTTAAGCAATATTACCATGAGTTTACCAAGATTACCATATGTTAACTGATTACCATGAGTTTATCAGGATTACCATACGTTAACTGAGATTACCATGGGTTTACCAAAATTACCACACGTTAACTGAGATTACCATGAGTTTACCAGGATTACCATACGTTAACTGATATTACCATGAGTTTACCAGGATTACCATGTTGACTGAGATTACCATGAGTTTACCAGGATTACCACACGTTAACTGATATTACCATGAGTTTACCAGGATTACCATATGTTGACTGAGATTACCATGAGTTTACCAGGATTACCACACGTTAACTGAGATTACCATGAGTTTACCAGGATTACCATACGTTAGCCGAGATTACCATGGGTTCACCAGGATTACCATACGTTAACTGAGATTACCATGAGTTTACCAGGATTACCATATGTTGACTGAGATTACCATGAGTTTACCAGGATTACCATGCGTTAACTGAGATTATCATGAGTTTACCAGGATTACCATGTTGACTGAGATTACCATGAATGGACTAGGATTACCATACGTTAACTGGGATTACCATGAATTTACCAATATTACCATGAGTTTACCAAGATTACCATATGTTGAGCAATATTACCATGAGTTTACCAAGATTACCATATGTTGAGCAATATTACCATGAGTTTACCAAGATTACCATATGTTGATCAATATTACCATGAGTTTACCAAGATTACCATATGTTGAGCAATATTACCATGAGTTTACCAAGATTACCATATGTTGAGCAATATTACCATGAGTTTACCAAGATTACCATATGTTGAGCAATATTACCATGAGTTTACCAAGATTACCATATGTTGAGCAATATTACCATGAGTTTACCGAGATCACCATGAGTTTAACAGGATTACCATGAGCTAACCGAGATTAAATCATACGTGAATGTTGTGTGAATGTCGTGACGCTATGTGAATGTCGTGACGCTATGTGAATGTTGGGTGAATGTCGTGACGCTATGTGAATGTCGTGTGAATGTCGTGACGCTATGTGAATGTCGTGACGCTATGTGAATGTCGTGTGAATGTCGTGACGCTATGTGAATGTCGTGTAAATGTTGTGACGCTATGTGAATGTTGTGTGAAAGTCGTGTGAATGTCGTGACGCTATGTGAATGTCGTGTGAATGTCGTGACGCTATCTGAATGTTGTGTGAATGTCGTGACGCTATGTGAATGTTGCGTGAATGTCGTGTTAATGTTTTGACGCTATCTGAATGTTGTGTGAATGTCGTGACGCTATGTGAATGTTGTGACGCTATGTGAATGTCGTGTGCATGTTGTGACGCTATGTGAATGTCGTGCGAATGTCGTGACGCTATGTGAATGTCGTGTGAATGTTGTGACGCTATGTGAATGTTGTGTGAATGTTGTGACGCTATGTGAATGTTGTGACGCTATGTGAATGTTGTGTGAATGTCGCGTGAGTGTCGTGACGCTATGTGAATGTCGTGTGAATGTTGTGACGCTATGTGAATGTTGTGTGAATGTCGTGACGCTATGTGAATATCGTGTTAATGTTTTGACGCTATGTGAATGTTGCGTGAATGTTGTGACGCTATGTGAATGCTGTGTGAATGTTGTGACGCTATGTGAATGTCGTGTGAATGTTGTGACGCTATGTGAATGTTGTGTGAATGTTGTGTGAATGTTGTGACGCTGTGAATGTCGTGTGAATGTTGTGACGCTATGTGAATGTTGTGTTAATGTTGTGACGCTATGTGAATTTTGTGTGAATGTCGTGTGAATGTTGTGACGCTATGTGAATGTTGTGTGAATGTTGTGACGCTATGTGAATTTTGTGTGAATGTCGTGTGAATGTTGTGACGCTATGTGAATGTTGTGTGAATGTTGTGACGCTATGTGAATGTTGTGTGAATGTCGTGACGCTATCTGAATGTTGTGTGAATGTTGTGACGCTATGTGAATGTAGTGTGAATGTCGCAATGTCACGTGAACGTCTAGCTGATGTTGTGAATAAGAACTTGAACTATATTACAGATAAAATACAAAATTCGCAAAAATTTTATAGAAATAATTTACCTCAGAAAATTCCAAACAAACCGCCGTTAAAAGTCGCCACCGCGGTCACGTGACCTCCAAACAAAATATTCCTTTAAATTAAATACGACAAATTATCTTACGAGATGACCATCGAAAGAAAAGAAGCAAATACAATTGTTACAAACGCTTGCAAAATTATAATTATTAACAATAATACTGATTATTAAATTCGGACTAAATTTGAAAATCTCTCCCGCAGATTGGCTCCTCCGGTGGGGGTGACGTAACGCGCGGGGCGTCACGTGATGAGGGAGGGTGGGGGGGGGTGAGGAAGGGGGCGCCCACGTGACGAGGGGGACGAGGCGGGTGAGGAGGGGCGGGGCGAGGGCGGGACCACGTGAGGGGCGGGGCGTGGGTGAATAGGGATGGGGCGTAGGGGTTAGGAGGGGGCGGGGTATTTGAGGAGGGGCGGGGCACGGGGGAAGGGTACGTCACGAAGAAGGCGGGGCGCCAGGAGGGACGGGGCGTAGGATAGCCCACGTGACGAGTGGGGCGTGCGGGGAGGGGGTGAGCCCACGTGACGAGGAGGGGCGGGGCGAGGGGGGTGAGGAGGAGGAGGGAGTGGGGGGGGTGTCGCGCGGTCTCCCGCCAAAAATCTGACGAGGTGAACGTGACGACGACGATGAGGTGATCGACGAACGAACTTTGACGAGGAACTCAAAAAAAAAAGGAATGGGGAGGGTGGATTATAATAAAAAAAACAATTATTTATGACGATCTATCGCTATCTCTATAAATAATTTATATATTTTTTAAAAAAAATTATATATAAAAAGAAAATTTCTGTTACAATCCAAACCGGTAGCCGCGGGTCGCGATCCCAACGACGAATTCCCCACCGGCTTTAGAGAGAGGCAAAGAGAGGAGAGCGAGGAGCGGGGAGAGCGGAGGGGAGAGATGCAGCAACGGAATACCGGGGCCTCGCGCGCGCACGGAGGAGGTGACGAGGGGCGGGGCTAAGATGTGTGGAGGCGGGGCTAGAGGAGGGGGGGGGCGGGGCTTACATGCGAGTGGGAGGGAGCTTAGAGAGGGTGGCGCGGTTTGTGACAGGAGGGGCGGAGCTAACTGGAGAGAGGGAAGGGAGAGGGAAGGGAGAGGAAAGGGAGGGGAGAGCTAAGGGAGAGCTAAGGGAGAGCTAAGGGAGAGGGAGGGGAGAGGGAGAGCTAAGGGAGAGGGAAGGGAGAGGGAGGGGAGAGGGAGAGCTAAGGGAGAGGGAAGGGAGAGGGAGGGGAGAGGGAGGGGAGAGGGAGGGAGAGGGAAGGGAGAGCTAAGGGAGAGCTAAGGGAGAGGGAAGGGAGAGGGAGGGGAGAGGGAGAGGGAGGGAGAGGGAAGGGAGAGCTAAGGGAGAGGGAGAGCTAAGGGAGAGGGAAGGGAGAGGGAGGGGAGAGGGAGGGGAGAGGGAGGGAGAGGGAAGGGAGAGGGAGGGGAGAGCTAAGGGAGAGGGAGGGGAGAGGGAGGGAGAGGGAAGGGAGAGCTAAGGGAGAGGGAGGGGAGAGGGGGAGGAGAGGGAGGGGAGAGGGGGAGGAGAGGGAGGGAGAGGGAGGGAGAGGGAAGGGAGAGCTAAGGGAGAGGGAGGGGAGAGCTAAGGGAGAGCTAAGGGAGAGGGAGGGGAGAGGGGGGGAGAGGGAGGGGAGAGGGAGGGGAGAGGAAGGGAGAGGGAAGGGAGAGGGAGGGGAGAGGGAGGGAGAGGGAGGGGAGAGGGAGGGAGAGGGAGGGGAGAGCTGAGGGAGGGGAGAGGAAGGGAGACGGAGGGAGAGCTAAGGGAGAGGGAGGGAGAGCTAAGGGAGAGCTAAGGGAGAGGGGAGAGCTAAGGGGGGTGCGAGATGCAGAGACGGCCAGGAACAATCAGCACTAATATTCTTGGTTCTTTCGGTAAAGTCACCACCGCGTAGACGGGAAACAATAAAATAAAAATATAAAACAAAATTCTCACGACGTTTCTGCTGCAACGCAAGAAGCAATCATCATCGTCAGGTGGTGGAACCCACAGCAAAAAAAAATGAAAAAAGTGGCGTTTTATTTTTAACGTTAGCACCACGGAGAGCGATTTGGCAGTCATTCAGATGGACGAGTCCATCTATGTTCAGATGGACGAGTCCATCTATGTTCGCAAAAGAGGGGGGGGGGGGAGACGAAAATAATAGATGGACTCGTCCATCTGAACAAAACTGTCAAATCGCTCTCCGTGGTGCTAACGTTAAAACAAACACCGCCACTTTTTTTCAAATGTTCTTGCTGTGGGTTCCACCCTGACGATGATGATGATTGCTTCTTGCGTTGCAGCAGAAACGTCGTGAGAATTTTATTGTTTTATATTTTTATTTATTATTTTATTGTTTCCCTTCTACGCGGTGGTGACTTTACCGAAAGAACCAAGAATATTAATCCCTGCAGTCACGAAAGCTTTAAATAAAAATTTGAGTCCATCTATGTTCGCAAAAGAGGAGGGGGGGGGGGAGAGACGAAAATTAATGTATGCGGTCTGAAAGCCACCGTAAGCGTGAACAATCAAGACCCGAAATGGTTTATCAAATCCTTCCAATGATTGCTAAGCCAGGTCACCGTAACATAACAATCAATCAACAACCGAAATGGTTTATAACGTCTTTCCAATGGTTACTAAGCCCAGAATCCATCTTCTCGGTTGAAATTGTCTCTGTGTTTGTGTATGTGGATGGCCTCATGAACGAATCTCTCATGGTAGGCAGATGGCTTACCGTAAGCGTGAACAATCAATTAAGACCCGAAATGGTTTATCAAATCCTTCCAATGATTGCTAAGCCAGGTCACCGTAAAATACAATCAATCAACAGAAATGGTTTATCAAATCCTTCCAGAATCCATCTTCACGGTTGAAATTGTCTCTGTGTTTGTATATGTGGATAGCCTCATGAACGAATCTCTCATGGTAGCCGGATGGCTTGCAGAGAACCTCCGTCTTGGAGAAGTCAATGTCATGTGAGCCCACTGAATTATAACAGTGATCTGGCACGGCCGAGGTGTTGGTCCTACCGTGTTTAAGGTCTGCTTTGTGTTCACGAATGCGGTCCGAGACATGGCGTTTGGTTTCTCCAATGTAGCTACTACCACAGAGGCAACTTAGTTTGTAGACGCCAGGGTACTGTATGTCCGGAATCACATCTTTTACAAACGGAACCAGATCACGGAGTTTATGTAATGTGTTGAATCGGACCTGGATCCTGGGATTATTCAGGATTTTGGAGATTTTTTGTGATCCCCGCAATGTAGGGTAAAGTGATGGTTTTGAAAGGCTCCTCAAGAAGGACCCTCTTGAGGAGCCTTTCAAAACCACTTTACTCTTTTCAAATTTTCTTGTTGTGGTTTTCACACCTGATGATGATTGCTTGTGTTGCAGTCGAAACGTCGTGATAATTTTATTGGTTTATATTTTTTATTGTTTCCCTGAATCCCTGCAGTCACGAAAGCTTTAAATAAAAATCAGCACTAAGTTCAGGTTGTGGATAGTGACCCATAGACTCACCACTACACAGAGACCCATAGACTCACCACTACACAGAGACCCATAGACTCACGACTACACAGAGACCCATAGACTCACCACTACAGAGACCCATAGACTCACCACTATACAGAGACCCATAGACTCACCACTACAGAGACCCATAGACTCACCACTACACAGAGACCCATAGACTCACCACTACATAGAGACCCATAGACTCACTACTACACAGAGACCCATAGACTCACCACTAGAGAGAGACCCATAGACTCACCACTACACAGAGACCCATAGATTCACCACTACACAGAGACCCATAGACTCACCACTACAAAGAGACCCATAAACTCACCACTACACAGAGAACCATAGACTCACCACCACACAGAGACCCATAGACTCACCACTACACAGAGAGCCATAGACTCACCACTACACAGAGACCCATAGATTCACCACTACACAGAGACCCATAAACTCACCACTACACAGAGCACCATAGACTCACCACCACACAGAGACCCATAGACTCACCACTACACAGAGACCCATAGACTCACCACACAGAGACCCATAGACTCACCACTACACAGAGACCCATAGACTCACCACTACACAGAGAACCATAGACTCACCACTAAAAAGAGACCCATAGACTCACCACTACACAGAGACCCATAGACTCAACACACAGAGACCCATAGACTCACCAATACAGAGACCCATAGATTTACCACTACACAGAGACCCATAGACTCACCACTACAAAGACCCATAGACTCACCACCACACAGAGACCCATATACTCACCACCACACAGAGAGCCATAGACTCACCACTACACAGAGACCCATAGACTCACCACTACAGAGACCCATAGACTCACCACACAGAGACCCATAGACTCACCACTACAGAGACCCATAGACTCACCATTAGACAGAGAACCATAGACTCATCACCACACAGAGACCCATAGATTCACCACTACACAGAGAGCCATAGACTCACCATTATACAGAGAC